ATATATATGGAAGGCCATAATCTTTAGACTCTTTAGAAACACTGACAAAAGATAGAAGCTTTCAAGGAGTGTGGGAAAATAGCATGGAAGATCTTTGAAAGAACAGTGCGAAAATCACAATAATAATAGATAAGGTGAGCATTTTTAACCGTATGCGTTGTGTTTAATGGCTTTGGAAAGCTGTCGGTAGGCCTACCATACTACACTCAGAGATAACCCGTTATGCTAAGCGCTTCATTGAGAACATAAATATTCAGTGTAAACCTAATGGCAGATTTTGTCATTATACTTACTAGGATTCTTCGTTGGTCTTTCATTATTATTGAGCACACCATCACATTGCCACTAGTTCCTTTCTCGCATAATCGTCGTCCATGGCGGTGGTCTACTTTGCGCACAATCACTTCCGCGATGGATGCTCCCAGATTCTGAAATTATCTTCAACTGCAGAAGCAGATGGCTGACGCAAGTCACAAACACGTAAGCCCATCGTTTCTGTGGCCATTCGGTAGGACGCTTACAATTTGTTGGAATCCATTCTAGTATTCTTTCCCTCCGGAAAACATCGTTTAAGTGTTCTGAAGATAGTGGCCAAAATTCCTGACGAGGTTGATATTGCTGCGACAACACTTAATTTCCTCTTTGTTGGTGACTGCAAGAAGCCTAATTTTTCCTTGGCCTCACTACCACATCAACTGGTGTCAAGCTGGCCACACCAGCGATTTCTATGCAGCCCCGCCCTTTCCCCTGTGACTTTCGTTCCATAAACCGGTTTTCCTCCGGGTTTTGAAAGAATTTCCTCGCTTTTCTAATCCTGTGTGCTTCATGCTCTTCAACACACGCTCTCAACTTTTTTTTTAAAAATGCAACCATGAAGAAAAACATTTGTCCAGTATGCAATCACACTGCTGTCAGCGTTTTATGAATCCGTTTAAGTTCTGCATGGAATTCTGCGCTGTCTAGCTTTTAGTTTTGATATCCTCTTATTCCAAACAATATCCAAAAGTTATCGCAGAAATTGAAAATTAGAAAATAAGTAATTGTTTCTCAAAAATGGTGCTGCATACTATCTACGTTCGTTGCCAGTTCTTCAATGCAGAGCATTTCTGCGCTTGTTCACCTACATTCTCAACGCTGTACGCTCTCCTCGACAGCAATAGTCTCTTGCAACCAAAGTGAAATTACGTGAGAAATTATTAGGAAGACATCCTTCCATGGACGACACCCTCCGTATTATTTGAGAAGGATGAGCTATCGATTGATTAGAAGAAACCTACCAAAAAACTTTTGTGGACGAAAACAGACAACCGGAAAGAATATAACACCTACATGTGTCATTTATAAGAGATAAGCTCACGTTCCTGCTGCATAACAGAATGCTAGGAAGACTTCAGAATTGAAAAAGTTGAGCGCGGAGTTTACTGCCCTATAGTTGGTCGATGAATTTGCACTTTGTAACAATTAACTGATATTCACATCGCTTACGTGCCGAAAGTATAAATTTTTTTGTTACCTAATTACTGAACATCTGGTCTTTATTACAACTTGACTGGTAATTTTAACTTGGTTGAAACGATGTTCGCAAAACAAGAACTATGTTCCGGCTGGCCTTGTGAGTTCAACTTTCGTCGTACCGATATCGAAGCAGTGTAAAATATAATCAAAATATTATGATTAGTGTCGCACCTCCGAAAAAGCGAGCAGTGTCTAGATTGTTTCAAAAACTTTTATGAGAACGCTATGAGTCCTAACAGCAGAAAAAATTCTAGGATACCACCAGGAGTTTCCCGCCATTTAAAAGCGGAAATAGAACCTGATTGTGTAAAAAATATTCTATAGCTTAACGAAGAACGTAACTGTAGGCAATACTATATCGTCCACTGTTTGGAAAGGTGAAAAAGCACATTTGATTGCTAGGCGATTTAAAAAAGTTCAAAGATGTTACAGTTTCCGTCATTTCGTTTCACAACCCAAGTAGCAGAAATCCAGTGCTGAGTTCTTCATATAGGCAACATTAACCTCAGTGGTACGTTATGCACTTCCCACTCCTATCAGCGATGTCTCAACTATTCCTTACTTCTTGTTACAAGTTGTGTGTCATACTGCCTCTACAGTCTGTTACATAATTTACTCTCACTACCAACTATCTGATCTAATTTCCTCCCGCTCACCCATCTACCCTTTAATCTTCTTTGTCAAGATCTCTTCTATGTAAAACTTTCTCCTCTACATTATCAACCTTTGGAAAACAATTCTCTCACTTCGAGTCATTCTTTAACGCCTCTTAACCTTTTTTATTGACCCTTTAACCACAATACAGCACGTATTGTTTCGGCATAGGCATATCGTTATTGTTGTATTATTATCGTTGTAAATATTCTAATTATCCAAGTTTGAGATCGCGCTTTGTGGCAACATGGGAGAGCCCTGCTTAGCAAATTCGTGCAAAATCGAGCATTCTACTTAAGTATCCCTTGCAAAGAATTGACTTTAGGACCTATTTTCTTCTGGCAAGGACTACATTCCTCGTGCACTGACAGCTACTATATTATGGATGCATTGGCCTTATTGTCATAAGACGAAAAACGTTTTCGACAGAATAATGAAATTTAACATGCAAGTTTCTAGTAATGGATGAAACAAATATTTTATTGTTACTGCTATAATCTGCTCTATATCTCCATAATTACTGATGCCAATCATCAAGAAAATGAAGGCTTTTAAAACAAGAAAACTTCCGTACAAATAACAATTAATGGGACCGGTTTGAAAAACTGGCTACCATATAACAAAATATGTCAAAAAATGTTGACGATGCTTAAATGTAACAACTAAGCATAGGAGTTCAAGAACCAAGAATCTTAGAAACCTCTTTCTTAGCTAGCAGAATTTCACGTAGGCGAAAGACACCCATGAGAACAGGAAAATCTATGTTGTCATCGAATGTAGACAAAGCGATGTAATTGTGCTTCTCTATTTTTTCGTACTCATCCCTGAAATGCACTTCATTAATTTTCGTTAACAAAATACCGCTCAAATTAGGAAAAAATCTACGAATTGGACACCAAAGTGACACATATCATTGCCTACAGAGTTCACTAATAGTAGACATCACTTCTGGATATCCGAATTTTGTGCAATTTTATAGAAATATGTTGGTGCAAAAATAAAAAATAATCCAATAAGAAACGTAGCTCACTCCGTGAGCGCCCTCGCGCCAATTTCATTCAATAACAAACTAGCAAGCATAAGATTAGCCTCTGCGTGGTATGGTTCAATGGCCAAGCACTTCTCCAAGTAATCGATACCTTCTTTACAAGATGCCGCCATACAGCTGATAAATGTTACATTACAGAAACACATCACAAACGAGATACACTTCAAGTTATCGAAATTAACCTTCTATCATAGTAGTGAATTGACTCATTAGGCTCCAATCTGAGGACATCTTCCGAAATAAGTCGTGCAGATTCATCGCTACTGAATGTTGCTGTTATCTGGAAAATCTGTGTCGAAGTAATCAATTGAAATCTATATTGCGGCTTGAGAATAATCTCTAGGAAGACAGGTACCTTAGCAAGAGCAGAAAGCGCATAACCAGTTTTCGGCTCAAGTCTTGAAACAAAGTTTTCTAAGTCCAGTATATTTCTGTGTAACATCCCCATATCGAGAGTGCGGTCACCAGGGATGAAATTGTTTAAAATTTGAAGAGTGAGCTGCAACAGCCTAGAACAGCTAGTTGTTACAACAGCCAATAAAAGTGAAGAAAACGATGAACTACACCTACTTCACGTTATCCGTGTAAATCCCTTCAGTTGATAAGATTTCCATAGCTGCACATGGTTCATTACACAAAACGTAACGGACTGCCGCCATAACGTAGAAATCCGCATTTGTTCTATCAGCATTCTCCACAGCGTTTGTAAACGCTCTAAATGCATTTCTATCTCAGTTAAGTGAGATTTAACAAAAGCTAAAATATAGCACAGTATAGTGCAGTGTATATCGTATCCTCCCAACGGTTTACCGTCTCATCGTGGCTGGAAGGTCTTCCTGGATGTCCGGCTGCGATGTACAGCGGTGAAGCAATCCTCCGGCAGAGTCTCCCAAGCTGAGAAGTCCGGCGTTTCCATCAGGAAGTCTAGCTAAAAGTAAGCTAATACCAGGACCCACCACCGTCCTGGTATCAAAGTCGCATGGTAGCAAATCTCCTGCTAATCCACAAGGGCTGCGACTGCCTGTGGTGATGAACACTTGGAGCAGACTTTGACCAGGCTGACCTCGGGATTCCAGGAACCACAATGCCTTAACCAGCAAATCTCCGAAAAATGGAGATTATGCTAGGGCCCGCACAACCAGTGAGGACGGGCCGTTCGAGCATCAAGTATTAAGTATATGTCCATATACATATATATATATGTATGTACACATGTATATATATATGTATATATATACATAAATATGGTCAATGTTGAATCAACAGCAAACAAGCGTTGTTGGAGTAGTAGCTCTGCGCGAAGCAATCTCATAGATTCGACCCGGACCATCAGGTCACTTAGTAACACACTCAAATATTAGAGTCGTAATGCAACAATTCCAATGAAAATCTCATGATATTTTGAAAGCAAATATGTTAGCAATACCTCATAAAAAGCAACTAACTTCTTAACTTCGTGATATGTGCGTCCAGCCTCAATGCACAAAATATACTTGGCGTTCAACAATTCTTGTTTTTCAACGTTCCTTGTTTCAGGCAACTCATTGAAGAGCATGTCGAATCTTTCCAAGCAAGACGATAGCTAAACAAATCCATACAAGCACAATAATGAACAGCCTTTGGAAATGAAAAAACTTGAATTACATCAAATGTGAAAAAATCCTGAAGAGTTGGACAAGTAAGAAAACAAGCAAACACCTAATTTTCTTTGCCTATTATTATCAGGCCATAAATAGGAATACAATAGTATTTTAAAGCATAAAAAACTATTGAAACTAGATTTTGGTCGGAGTATTATAACAGTCACGTTTTCCAATTAGTCTTTAATATTATAATGTTAACTGTCATAATTAATGTTCTGCTAGCTAACTGAAAGGTAGCACGTACTGTGCATTATTTATAACAGAAAAAAGAAAAATTGGTGTTAGATGGGTAATGATTTCCGGAAGTTTCGATTAGATTGAAAAATTCACACTCGTCAACAAAGCTCATCAACCTTATGAGTAAAAAAAACTTATATGATTTTACGAAAACCATTTCACTGGCACGATGTTAACTCATTTGTTATACAACAAACATACGAGATCCAAACGATTCTGGTAGAAATAAAAGCGACCAGCAAGTATAAGAGATTTCAGCAAGTTTTCTCCGTCTTCCTGTATTGCTGTATCCGCGACGTCATCATATTCTTTATTGCGCACCTTCAGGATAGCAGTGGCATATGGTCTAAATTTGAGTTTTTCACCTAGTGACCAAACAAGATAAATGAAAACATCCGAATGATAACAATTGGTTCTCAGAAAACTAAAACAGGTTTTCAACCTGTATTGTCAGAGGCACAGCAAACTTTACTAAACAGAATAAAAACCATTTGAACCTACATATTTTGCCACGAGAAAAAAGTTTCTTTACACCAATTGCATAAAATTCTCTATTACTGAAAGTAGCAAAGTCGTTGAAGGCAGTTTGGCCTCGTCTAGGTATTTGAACGATTTCTCGCACAGAAAATCAACGCTTGAAGTGATAGTCGGTTGGCAAAAAGCCTGGCAAGTATGATTGATGAAGTTGAGTTTCGTAGCAATAGGGCGTTTAACTCTTGCAGCGTCAATGGTCCGACGTCCGTACGCGCATTAGAGCGGAGAGGCATTAGCCCTTTTTTCTGACCAATGCGGTACACAGACGAAGTTTCTGGTGAAATTTGTTCCTGGTGATTTGCTGAATCATGTTCTCCTCAGTAATCGTTTCCGTTGGAATCAGAATGTGATGGATCGGACCATTTGTAAAGCACCATACGGTCAGCATGATCTTCCCTTAGAGCAATTACGGTTTTGCGAACTGCTGCAGAACTCCATCACCATCCAACCACTTAACCGACCGGTGCAGGCTTAAGTACAGCATCTGTTTCTCGTCAAACATCACGATACTGTCCATTGGGAGTTCTAGTTTTCTAGTTGCGTAGAAGAAACACCAACGACATCTCAGAACGACAGTTTTTTTTTTAAAAATTGTCATCTAACTCGTGCGGTTCCTATTTCTCAAGCTTCTTCGGTTTTCTAAATTTTTTTAGACGCTCTGAAGCAGTTACAATATCTGTAACGAGTTTTGTGCAAGTTTCTCGAACAGTTGTGTGTTCAACATACTTGATACTTGAGTGGCTCGTCCTCATTAGTTGTGGGCTTCCAGCACAATCTCCATTTTTCGGAGACTTGCTGGTTAAGGCATTGTGGTTCTCTGGATTCCTGAGGTCAGCATGGCCAAAGTCTGCCCCAGATTTTCACCACCGCAGGCAGTCGCAGCCCTTGTGGATCAGAGGGAGATTTGCCACCATGCGACCTTGATACCAGTACAGTGGTGCATCCTGATATTGGTTTACTCTTAGCCAGACTTCCTGATGGAAACGTCGGACACCTCAACTTGGGAGACCTTGCCGGGGGGATGAATCTCCTCACTAAATGCATTAACAACAAAGCAACTGGTAAAAAAAAACAGTTGCTGCTTCCAAATTTATATAAATATACTGTTGCTTACATTGAAATTTGTTAACTGAATTGAAAAGCACTACAATCTATATATTTTTTCACAATGAAATGCAGGTATTCGTTATATGAGGAAGAAGTTCTATCTTCCTTGGAGTTCACGAAACATTTTTTTCTCACATTCATAGCGTCAAGGCTCATGTTTCAAAGATAAAAGAAGTTGAAAAATCGAAATACCGTTCACTAAGAAAGGTTTTCTATGTGCACCGCTATTTGCTGCTGTCTTGGATTAGAAATCAAGATTTCAAATTTCGTTTTTTAAATTCAGTTTAAATAACTGCAATATCAAATGTTTCACAACGAAGTTAGGTTTACAATAAAGAACGATAATTACCTAAATATTTCAAGAGTTCAGAACTTTACAGGTTTATAGAAGAGATTCTCCTCTAATGCATTAATCAGCAATTTTTGAATGACGTCCTTTCATATGTGAATGTTTAGATTTAAAACTTTCGAATCAAAGCAAGAGTACTCTTACGCTGAAGGGAAAGACTTGCAGACACCGACAGTTCTTAACGCAATTAGTAAAATCCAACACGAGCAGAGAGCTGATTTTAAGTTGAGATCGGCCACGATTCTCGCACAGCATGACTCCCATTATAGGTCACGTCATCGTCTAAGTGTTAGAACAACATTAGAAAACTACTTCTGCCCTCACAGTAGTGCAAATGTTCTTCTACGAATCAATAGAGCTCTGAAATTCTCAAACGTTCCAATGATTAAGAAATTACCGCTAATTCTCAAAAAACCAACATAGCGAGTTATGTGTTTGTTAGACTTTTAACGCAAACTCGGAAACTAGAAACATCAAAGAAACGTTGAAAAAAAAATCCTTATGTCTGCTGGTCATGTCCTGCCTTTTCAATAACATCGGTGCTCGAGATTGCGTCACATGAGTCCTAAGAAAACGGGAATTTTTGGCTGTGGACTAAAATATATAGCTTGTTGGCAAAATTTGTACATTCTAATGGTTTCTATTCAAACGAGTAAAAGTCAGCACTTCAGTACAAGCTCAGAAAAACTCGCGTAGAGTTGAAAGGCACAAATATTCTCAAACACGACTGAGTCACTCATGAATCATGCCGGTAATAAGGTGTTAAAATAATATTCGCGTGGTGGTAATACTTTGAAGCTTCACGAGTTGGATTTCCCATAAGCAACAGAACAACAACAAAAAGCAAAGCAAGAAAATCAATAATAGAAACACCTCACTTTGCAAGGTTGCTCACATTTTCACCTTTTCATTGTGTACTATGTTTATTCAAAGCAAATGTGAGATGCAATTTTAATAAGAGGCAAAACTGCAGGTCATAATCAAAGGAAATCAAATAGAAACAACTTTTCACGTGAATAAACTCACGAGTTCCCAAAAACGCGTGGCGAAATGACGTCACGACGAATACAGTCAGAAACCACCGTCTTGTGTAACCAGTTGTAGACCTTAGTAGTTGTAAAACTTCAAGTATTGAAAAACAAATGTCTTATATAAGACACACCTTCTCATGACGTACGTGCTTTTTTGAACCTTGAACACTGCTGTCATGAAGCCATGATTCATAAGAATTTTTCTCAAGCTTCTCCAGCAAGGATGACAAAATAGTTTTTGCCTGAGTGTCAAGAGCACGATCAAGTTGGGTAGCGCAATATACACCTAAAGATAATAAATTGATCTTAAAATACGATGAGTGGAAGAAAGAAAATTGATTCCTTACGCACAGACAAGAGAAGGCATGTATTCTTTCTTCATATTTAAAAGACGAGCTTTTCTAAGATAAGCTTTTGCGTATCGAGGGTTATATTTGAGGGCGTTCTGACAGTCACTTAACATGTCATCGATACTGTAGCCACCATAATGCTAAAGTGCAAATATGTCAGAAAAAAATGAAAAAAGCGGTTGAATGACTATAACATGCAAATTACTTTGAAAGCAGTATAATAAGCCTTTAATGCTATGTTAGATTAAATCAAAATAAGCTTCATGCTAACCTCTTTTGCAGCAGCTCTATTCTGAAAACACACCGCCTTAAGGAGTTCACCATCTTCGGTGCTACAAGCACTAATTGCTTTGGAGAAAATCTTAATGAACAGTTTTTAGAACCTTACTTATTTTACAAACATTAGAAAAGATCTCTTGACAAATAAAAGGATAAAAAGAGCACAAAACTCGTGGAGTTGACCAATCCCTGAACGATGCGCTACGCATTCGGCTTTTCCAAGCATCGCTGGACGTGACTGAATGCATATCTGGCCTCTACAACGATTCGTGGTGGCCTACCGATGTATCAAGCCAACGCTGCTATCCTCGCAGACAAGTGTGGTACCAATTTGCCGACTCCAGAGGAATGGAAGGATTGGTGATTGACGGCCGTGGGGATGGATCCCGTGTGTGTGTGTCGCAGAGTGCCTCCGACCACTAAGCCACACGCACCTTTACACACCTTTTAACAGATATCAATGAAAATTGCTGATCTAGTTGCTTCATTTAATGTTGCATCACAGCAGTTAAAAAGGGGTAACGAAAACATCCCAATCATCCTAAAGTTGCGGTCATAGCACTAAAACTTGGAAAATTTTCATTGAGTGCAAAACAAAAATGCTACTGATACTGCTTTCCCAGGAAAAATAGGAACTCATACTCATGTAGAATAGTATTTCTCGATCCAGGACTTATCTTAACACTACATCAGAATAGGATAGAACTTACTAGGCTGATGCAAAAATAATGGTAGTTTTCGTTGTTACAAAACTTGCAAAAGAAAATTCACAAAAAATATTCGTTGCATGAACTGTTTATGTGCACCACTGTAAAGACTATTGCTTGCTCAATAATTTACCATATAACAACTTTCGTAACGAGAAGCGGATAACGAAATGGCAATGACACTGTTCAGTACGCGCTATGCCATGCTTAGACCTCGACCCGGGTCAACCGTGCCCCATCTCCCAACCTGGGCCGAGAAATTCGTAGAGGAGTTGCATGGAAGCAGCTCGCGCACCGAAGTCCACAAAGGCTGGCAATCGATAGTGAAGTCACCCGACTGGGTCGAGAAGGGCATACGTGTTGATAGAAAATTCCTGTCAAATCTTCGTTTCGCGGATGACATCGTCACCTTTTCAAGAAGCACCAGTGAAGCATAGACGGTGTTCGATGAACTCAATGAAGTAGAAGAAAAGAATGGACTTCATGTAAACAGGATGAAGACCCAGTTCATGAAAAACACACGGTGAGAAGGTGAACAAATCGAAGTGGATGGTTCTTTGATTACAGGAACTACTTCGCACGTGTATCTTTAACGTTTACTGAACATGTAAAATAACATAAAAAAAAGAAGACTGAAGAAGGTGAGCAGAGTGGGCCGCATTCCAAGTAATGAACCACAACTCTGGGATCACACTCTCGATTCAATACCGTTCACTACGCTCTGTTACGCAGCAGAGAAGTTGATTGATACTTCTACCATACCAGGAAACCTGCGAACCACCCGCACAGCGTTTAAACGATGGCTTGTATAATTTAACCGGTATTCACAAAATTTCGCCGGAATGCACAAGACAGATCTTCAAAACACGTCACATCTTCAGGAGCCATGCGAATACACATCGATAGCAAAATACGGATAGGCCGGTCAGGTAATAAGAACAGATGACATCAACGAAAAGAAGAGTGGAGTGAACTCCAAGAAAATTGAAGTGTTCTATTGCAAGAACACCCAAACAATGGGTAGACGTGCTCGTGGGTAACGTCAACCATCCGCATTCGCTGATGGGGAACGATTTCACGGCTTTAGAATGAACCTCACAAGCAACACCATGTTCGAAGCAGAGTACCGTCATTGACGACGATTGTGCGAGGGAGATACGAATGGAAAATATTCTAGGGCTAGCATCACCAGTGATGACAGGTCATCTGAGCATCCAACTGTCACATTCGTTCTTATAATGATATTATAACTCGCTCCACGTTTAAAAAAACCAGCCAGATTGTGGTGTTGGATGCCTTTTATGGCATTTAAAAATTTTATTTCAAATACTGTTATTATTCTAATACTGCAATCGGCAATAACGTGACATATTTCAAAGACAAAGTACTGTGTAATAAGCAGAAATATAAACTCACTTTGATGGAGTCTTCGTACTTCTTGGCCGCAAAAAGTTTGTTACCCAAATCTTTCAACTCTTTCACCGTTGGACCACTCTTCCTCTGAAAGTTGTAAAGGAAGAATTGTAAATCAATTACTGGGAAAATTCGTGTCACAAGCATATTTAGGCGAAAAGGCAATAAGCACTTCTGAGCAATCAGATAAAACATGACCCTGCAATACACTGTAATTTGGAAACACAGGAAACACTACTGCAACTATTCCTATATTAGGATCTGTCTTCTTCTTTGATTTTAGTTTGAGTGAGTTACTTCTTTTCACAAATTGGGATATATTTCGTACGATAATTGAACTGCACAAAAGAAAACGATACATTTCTCCAGTGTTAGCAATGCATTGGTTCAACTCACGGAGATAACTTTGAAATAATTCATGTTACGTATCAACAGAGATTTTCTGCTGCTCTGGTTACTAGACTAATCTGTGACCACAACCTCATCGTTTTCACTGAGAGTTCACTTCAATATAAAAACAAGAACATTGCCGTTGTCAAGAAAATAAAACAATGGATTATTACCAATTAAATTCACCGCAAGTGTAGCTAGAAAGAGTCCGCATTATAGAACGAAGCTTAAAGCTCTAAAAAGCTCTCGGTGTTGATCAATCCCTGATGGATGCGCCATGTATTCGACTTCATTAAGCATCGTTTGCAGGTGATTGAATGCATACCTGGCCTTTACAATGACTCGTGGTGGCATACCGATGTATCGATCCAGTGCTGCTATCCTCCCAGATAAGTCAGGTACCAATTTTCCGATCTCAGATGGATGGAATGCTTAGTGAGCTTTCAGCGCGGGGATCGATACCGTGTATTGCAGCGCGCCTCCGACCACTGCGCTACACGCGGTGCTTACAGAAATACGCTTCTACTAGCCTATCTAAACATCACTAAGTACTTGCCACAAGAAAATCGATTACTCATAATCACTGGAAGAACTACGAAAGCAGATGGCGTACAAAAAGGGAAACTGTTCCAGTCAATTAGGCTTGCTTCAGAATTGCCTACTTCAATAAAAGCAACTTCTTCGACACAATTCGGAAGAGTACTCGGTTGTATTCTGATGCTTAAATTACGCTAGGAAATCTACGCTTGTTCGTCGAAGGAGATAATCTACTCCAGACGACGAGAACTGGGTAGCAACAGAAAAAGAAGCAATTTCGGCTAGTAAGAAGAAATTAGCTCAAGCTGCCTGACTAAATGAATAAATCAAGGGTTTGTATAAAAGCATACCGGATTTCTCCTGCGCCACATTATGTAGAACAGACTGGCCGCGGAAACTCCAAGAACAGCCAGAATTCCAGCGTAGCGATGCAAATTCGTCGAGTTCGTCATGACTTCTGGAATACACTGCATATATTACATAGTAAGTAAGTAGTGATAGGAACCAGAACTGTATTGGGAAGTTGACGAGGAGGCTCTTTGACAAAACAGGATAATTCCTTGGCCAGGATAGTGGTGAAGGAGTAAAGGGCGCTTTACCTAATCAAAGAAAGGACACTTTTCTATCGCCCTAAGGGTAAAAGAAGGATGAAGCTCTCGGCGTTGATCAATCTCTTAGGGATGCGCCATGCATTCGACTTCATAAAGCATCGTTGGAGGTGACTGAATGCATATTTGGCTATTACAATGACTCGCGGTGCCCTAACAATGTATCGAGCCAGTGCCGCTATTCTCTCAGACAAGTGTGGTAACAATTTGCCGAGTCCGGAGGGGTGGAACGCTTGGTGAGCCTTGGGCGCGCGGATCGATACCGCGTCTATTGCAAGGCGCCTCCGATCACTGCGCCACACGCGCCCATGACTTCTGGAATGTAACATATATATTAACTATTAAGTAAGTAATGATAGGAACCGGAACTAGATGAGGAAGTCGATGAGGAGGCGCAGCGCGAACTCGGAGATTCAAAACGCCGTTGGCCAACGAGACGGAGACGTGCGCAGGTCGCGTCGCGGTTCGCGCGGCAGCGGCCAGCGATGCACCACCGCCACTCCAGTGGTGATCATCCAGCACCTAAGGTTTTGCGTTAGCTTAAGGACCTTCTGTACTGACGTTGTCTGTGCCGTAGGAAAAGGTCCAACCTCTGTTTTTTCAAGAGCGATTCAGCAATGGTGAGAGGCTTTTTCCGTTTTTTTTTTCATTTTCGTAACTGGTTTTTAAGTTGATAGGCTATAGCTTGTTACTATAATTTTTCATTGTTGTTACTTTTACTGTGTTTCTAGTAGCCACAAGCCTACTCCCTGAAGAGATAGAACAGCGATTTTAAGTGAAATAGTACTGATTTACTCCTTGTGTTTTTGTCCTTTTCACAGATCAATTGGAAGTTATCGCGAAACTTGGGTATCTTTGATATTAGAACCACTTGATTTGGTATCATGAACACCTCTTCCATGCTTTCATGAAGCCTTTTTCCAGTAAAATGTTATCGTAATGCTCGGACCACTCTTATTCATTAGTCGAGACTGTGTTTTTATCTTTGCTGGCTAGGGTTCCACAACGCTTCCGAGGCTCCCTCCTCCGAAGATCGAAGAATTGAATGGGCAGTTACGGTTCTGCAAACGCAAAAAACTTATCCATGTGTAGTTTTAAACAAATTGGGAACGAATTTCAATTATATGTTATCAAATCTAACCCCAATAGTGTTAGGTGGGAACATAGACGATACATTGAGTAACAGCGTTACGTACATCCGGGCGAAATCTCAATTTTCTCACGTTTTTTCGAAATATGCTTAGGCGTAGGCTTAGGCTTAGACCTTGTTAGAACAAAAGCGTTTATATCTTATATGCAAAAATCCGTATGTTATAGCAGTTCCTGTTCAAATCCATGAAGGATGGGGTACACTGAGACATGATGGTTTAAAGTTAAAAGCGGCCATCGTTTTCGCACTGAATGCATAGTATTCGATGCGCGCCAGGCGTTATGTTTTAACGATTTGAATATATTCTTCACATGCGATGAAGTTTCGGAAAGTCACAGTCAGGAATGGAAAAATTCATTTTCGTTTCCACATATGCCACTCTGGATGTGTCGTAATCTTTTCAGTTCTAACACGACTTTACCATGATGTTCAAGACAGATTTTGATAAGGGCAGCTTAACGTTGGACGATCTGAGCACAATAAGAGCTCTAAAGGGTTTACGCATTAGTTAAGAATTCTTTTCCTTTGTCGCAGGAGCTGAAAAAAAGAAGATGAATAATGTTTTCGATTTCGTTCCCACTGGTGTGTTCGGACAATTGTTAATTACTGTTAGTAATTGAATGCATAGGACAGATACCAGCTCAGTTCTTTGTTTTCTTCATGGATATTAAGGCTGCTAACGACTCGTTGGAATTAGTAGGCTGGAGAATTGCGATGTGTGCTCGTGTGTTTGCGTTTGGAGGCACACGTGGTTGCAAACTTTCTTAGAAATTGGAAAGTAACACTGTGATTTTAAAAACTGAGTTCTCTTTAGCTTCGGTATGACTAATCAGTATGTATTCTTTCTTTGATAAACTTACACGAAGTTGATAAATAATGTTTATTTTCGGCTAACGTTTCGACGTCTTCATCTTCATCAGAGCCGATCGTCTTTCGTCTTCAGACTGTGTTTCTGTTTAGGAGAGCTGTTGAATCTGCGTACATACAGAACGACCTTATATCCTTGTCCACTCCGGGAAGATAGGAAGAGATGTATTGAGTGGAAGCAACTATAGGTAGGGATTTTTGTCTCCCGTCACTGCTACAAATAGGCTCTCATATTCGGAAAACGAGCAGTGTTTACACTTAATTGATCTCACTTGGTATCAAAACCATCATTTGTTGTGTTTTCGGTTTTAATTTAAATGGATTTGTAATTATGTGAGAACTGTTGGGTTCGAAGCAAGTCGGACTCGACATTGTGGGGCCGATATACGACGTTGCTCAACAGGAGTAGTTAATCGCTCAAAATCAAACAGCTAACGTAGATTCCTTATGTTATGCGCAGTTGCTCCGCACCAGCCTTCTAAGACATCGATCTTTCGGTAGCTTGTGAACTGAAATACGTGTGCTTTTTATTTACCACCACAAATAATAACTATTTTCTCAACGGTTTACCGCTTCATCGTGGTTGCGAGGAGTTCCTGGGCATGAGGCTGCGATGTATAGCGGAAAGATTCATCCTCTGGCAGGGTCTCCTGTACTGAAACGTTTCCGTCAGGAAGCCCAGCTAAGAGTAAACCAAGACCGGGTTCCACCACCGTACTGGTATCAAACTAGTCACATGGTGGCAAATCTCTTTCTGATCCATAAGCGAGGCGACTACCTGTGGTGGTGACGACCTGGGGTAGACTTTAGCTGGGCTGACCTCGGGACTCTAGGAAACACCTGTGGCTAAACCAGCAACACTCCGAAAAGTGGAGATTATGCTGGGGCACGCGCAACCAGGGAGGATGGGTCGTCTAAGTATCAAGTAAGTATCTGGTTTTATAGTGGATGCCCTACAAATGAGGAGTAATTTTTGCTATATTTATGGCTTTCCACATCACAAAAACCATTTATAGGCGGTACTACTGCATTTTACGTTGTTTTTTAAGAGCATGTGTAGCACAGTGGTCGGATGCGCCGTGCAATACACGTGAGATCGATCCCGCGCCCAAGGCTCATCAAGCCTTCCATCCGTCCGGGGTTGGCAAATTAGTAGCAGGCTAGCAGGAGGATAGCAGCACTGACTCAATACTTCAGTAGGTCACTGTAGGTCACTGTAAAAGCCAGCTATGCATTCAGTTAACTCCAGCGTTGTTAAATGAAGTCGAATGCATGGCGCATTCCTTATGAATTGATCATCACCAAGTGCTTTATCCTTTATTCTTTTATCACTGCTTTTGAGGAACTTTAACAAAACGTTTGTGTCTTTAACACCGCGCAAAAAAGCATTTGTATCCTGTCGTACTCATCCTGAAGAAGTTGTAGCAAAGTCATTCGTTTAAATTATAGTCGTAGTTATGATGTTCAACTGGCAAGAGACTTAAGAAAAATGGTTAAATGTTATCTGCAACTTGTTGTCTAGTTTGTTTTAATGGTCTCTGTCTCCATAATATGGAATAACTTCGTGGTGGAAGCGTTTCATTTAGTTTAAAACTGTGAATTCCTCTACGTATCTCATTTGTTCAACCTTCTTTATTTCGAAGCTATTGAATTTCAGTACTTTCTAATAATATCTTTCTTGTTTAGCTTTATCCTTAACTAGGGAGTCAAATACAACATCAAATTAACGCTGTTGGAATTTTTGTGTACAGGAGAACAGTTCCACTTTGCTCCTGTGCCGAACTACATTGTACTTCTTTTCATTGCGTACTTAGTGTCTATCGTTCATCGTAATTTTAATATGCTCAAATTCAGTAAACAGCTATCGAACTTCACGTTTTTCATACTTGATTTTTATGTGATGTCACTGCTGGGTGCATATGGGTTTAAGGTTCTTAACGGTGCCAGAATGTTGATTGTGTCCTAATAATTTTGGTCGCGATGTACGTTTTCGTCCATTTGTTGTTAATCACCATTTTATGTCCGGTAATATTCTCTCGAACACGATTTCCCTTACGAACAGCTAGTAATTCCAGATCCATAAAACGTCGACGCTGGATGTTCTCCGTGATGCTACATGCTTGATCTGTAAATGGGTTGTGCTGATTATGGTATGTTAAACAAATCATCTGCAATGGCTACCACCGTCAGGGTTCCAAGGGAAAGGCAGTTCCATGTAAGTTGATTCTAGTAAAGAAATCTTTTACACTACTCGTTTATTTTCAGTGTTATTCGGAGTTAAGGCAAACTTAATAGAATATGCGTTATTTATATGATCTAAACGGAGTCAAGTGAATGATACATGTAGCGCAATGCCACTACGATACATCATCGCCAATATCACACCGTTGTGTCTTTTCACTAGAGTAGTATATACGATGGGAACGTGTGGTGCAGTGGTCGGAGGCGTCTTGCAATACATATGGTATCGATTACCGCGCCCCTGGGCCACTAAGCCCTAAATCCCTCCAAGGTCAACAAATTGGTACCAGACTTGTCTGAGAGGATAGCAGCACTGGGTTGGTACATCAGTAGGCCACGGCGAGTCATTGTAAAGGCCAGATGTGCATACAGTCAACTCCAAACGATGCTTAATGAGGTCAAATGCATGGCGCATCTCTCAGGGATTGATCAACGCCAAGAGCCTTATACTCTATCTTTCTATTATATGCGTTGAGGTGGCATGTTCATTTCTATAGGTGTTGGATGAATCCACAACGTTTATGTGTGTTTTTTCTTCAAATTCTTACCACTATCGTTCTGGTATTACTTCTATACTTTATTACCGTACAATGTTGCCAAATCCATAGTGGAACTCGCGGAGCGAACAGCACTTTGTAGTGGACACGCAACGCGCAATGTTGCCATATTGCGTTACCAGGCTTTATTCATTGTGGTTCAAAACTCGGCAAGGTGCATTACATTAATTATTCTAGGTAGTGCCTGTACCTGGTGTTTTCACCCGTGGTCGGTGGAAATGCCGTGACTATCGCGAAGATGACCATACGGATTGCCGCGATCAAATTCTTGATTTCACCGACATTCGAGAACGCGAAGGTAAGTGCAATATTTTTTTTTTGTATCCCCGAAGCTAAGAAATTGTAAATTTGATGTTCATTCGCCTCCTTCCTTTATTAGTGACCCGTTATTAGTAGGAGACGGAGCCGGTGCTGTGGAGAAGACGTCATCAAATGGAAAATCCGCTGAGACTAAGATCGCTCCAAGTGATGTACCGACGAATGACACAATTTCGTCTCCCTTAGTCAGTTTTCTGTCGTTATTCTATTTGGCAGTTTTTGCTGGTGTAATTTTTATAATCACACAATGAGACAATGTTCATGCACACAGCTTGACAGGATCTTTCAATATTTCCCTGCTAAACTACGATTGATGCATTTTCGGAGGCTTTTCCTCATGGAATAATTGCTGTCATTCAGCTCCACACCTACGATTTTTTATCTTGTTCTACTCCGAAGGACAGTTTTCAGAAGGAGTCGTCTACAATTGTGGTAACCTCTATAGCTCCAGCACCATCGACTCCTCAACACGATACACATCATGTTGAAGCTACTGAACAAGCTATAAGAGACCTTGAAAGAGGGAATCCATCGAGGGTTAGTTTTGTACCTTGTCATTGTTGGTTGTTCACGCTTATCACTATTGACAATAGTGATCTTTCAACTAGATTTCCTTCTTCGTTTGTGTTACTTCCAGCAAGTCATCGATAAGCGTATAGTTAGATTCATGTGACCTGTGTTCGATTGGTTCATAATTTAAGTGTGTTCATTGATACTTACTTACTTGATACTTAAACGGCTCGTCCTTACTGGTTGTGCGGGCCTCACCATAATCTCCACTTTTCGGAAATTTGCTGGCTAAGCCATTGTGCTTCCTTGGAATCTTGAGGTCAGCCTGGCCAAAGTCTGCTCCAGGTCTTCATCACTACAAGCAGTCGAAGCCTTTGTGGTTCAGAAGGAGATTTACCACCGTGCAACTTTGATACCAGGACGGTGGTGGGTCCTGGTATTGATTTACTCTTAGCCAAGCTTCTTGATGGAAAGGCCGGACTCCTTCTCAGCTTGGGAGACGCTACCAAGAGAATGGATCTCGCAGCTGTACATCGCAGCCCAACACCAGGGAAGTCCTCCCAGCCGCAATGAGGCAGTAAACCATTGAGAGCAAAGTGTGTTCAATGAGGGTGAATAAAAGAGGAAAATCAAATTTCTTGGGTAGAACAGAATAAAAGTGAGAAGCAAAATTTATTGGACGTAACACTGACAGACTAGAATCGAATCGTGAGAAGAGAGTTGGCTTTTATACCTCTTATCTGATAACATGTTGCGATATTGCTTCTATGATTTCTCATATTATTTTGCGATGCTCTTTGTTTCTAATTCCTTGGAAAGAAATGTTTATTATCGTTTAAGGGAAGTAGAAGGAGGTGTGAGTACGCGGAATAGAATGTGAATTTTCTGTTAGTATAGTTTGCTTTTTGAAAGAATGAATGAAGAAATTTTGGGTTGTTTAACTTTCTATTTACTGTTTATTATTTCTTTCATGGCAGAGTATTATGTGAGGTACAACCACAACGATGGTGTGATATGTGCGAAACTTCGGCAGTGGTTCAGATTCGAACCTGGGATTACCCTTACCGGGACCCATGTGTTGCTCACTGCGCCTTTGGAGCACCTGCTTTGGCTTTCTCTCAGCCTTTTTTTTTTCAAATGCTAAAAATTAGATTGTTGTAATCTTTCGCACTAATATATCAGTTCGCTGTAGCTCTTCAAGTCATATTCTTATTCTACAAAAGTTTTTCAGGAAGATGTGTGGATAAGTAGCTTAGATGTTTAAACTGACTTTCCACCAGTTAGTGAAAACGAAATGTTTGATGTAAATTACGATAACGCATTCCAGTGGTTTTTCATAGCGCTACCACTACTATTTAATTTTTTCATAATGTCCTAGTAGAATGTCCTGTAGTCCTGGTAGAATTTATGGTTTTTTTTCTGCGAGAAATTTATTAAGTGTTTGGAAGGTGGTTGAAATATTCGCTTGCGAAACTATTTTCGTGTGAAAGGATTTAATATTAGTCCTTAGTCCCCAATATTTATTCGTTGCATTGTTTTTTCTTCTTTTTTTTATTGCTATTAAATGCCTAGGTGCACTTCGATTCATTTATTTTTCATTCGTTTGTCATTTTTTATTCCTATTTTGTGATTTCATTCTAAAAAACCTTCTAATTGAGGTTACTGGAACACGATCTATGTCTTCTACTCATTCATTATCAAGCTCAGCGTTGACAATGGCGTCTTCCACTCAGGCACGTTAATTTTGAAAATTTATGTATTTGGTTTCTATGTTAGTGCAAGAACATTCTTCCTGAAGTGACCAATTTTAGCTCTCATATCAGCATAAATCTTGTTGCTCTGCGTCAATTTGGAGGTGTTTTAATCGTATAGATTACTATCGAGTATTCATTTGTGCTTTGTATCGTAGTACAATGGAGTAATATTCCCCGAAATCAAATAAGTCTTACTTTTCACGCGCAATATATTGAAATGACGCCAAGTTTCTGTTTTAAAATAGGTTTTATAGGAATATTGAAAGTGTCGAGAAGAGTGTAAATTTCTCAAAACACTGGGCTTTTCGAATAACTTGAGAACAAAATTTGAGTATACTGAGGCTATCGGGATTGTTTTTCTACTAGATCGTCCGAAATGTTTTGTGATTTCAAAGACATTTTCAATGAAATAGTCCAAAAAGCGATAAGCGCCTCGTAGGTGTTTGATCTTTTGCTATCTGATTAGAGTTAGAAAAGAAATCAGTAATCAGAAAATCCTTTCCTTATGAAAGGTTCGCTATTCACTGTCACAGTCAATCTATACTTCCAAAGTCAATTTAATGCGTTTTAACAGTTTTCAGACCGACCGTCACCTAACCTTGGTAACAAAATAATCAACATGTATCTAAATTGTTGAGCTTACACGAGTTTGATAAACAGATTTGTTCGGTTAACGTTTCGACGTCTTCCTCTTCATCAGAGCATATGATCCTAGTCGGTGGTCCACAGCTGTTCGTCTTCTCGAAGTGGCCTCTTCGTAGTTGCTGCGAAACGGATCTTCTTTAGTGGAACACCGAACGAATGAGGTATGCTTACCCGGCAGTGATCTTTTCTGTGCTGTGTGCTAGCTAACATACTACCCACTGATGTAGGATGGATTATCCGTTGAAAAACAGTGTTATCAACGGATAGTCGTGTCAACAACAACCACCCTGTATAAAAAAACACTGCTGAGTGAACATTCCTCATGCGTGCGGTGGTCCATTGAAGAAAATCCGTCTCGGTACGAGTACAAAGACGCCACACCGATAACATGTGCAAACGAACAACTGTGGACCACCAACTCGAATCATCGGCTCTGATGAAGACGAAGGCGTGAAAATGTTGGCCGAATAAGTTTGCCTATCAATATTGTATAACCTTATCAATCTAAATACGTGTTTCAAAAGGGTCCAAAGAGTTTAACTATGCACTTTGCAAGATGAAATTAGGTAACGGTCCGATAATGCGAGCTTAGAGTAGTATGAGCAATTGAATGAGTTGTCCTATCTATGATCTAAATGTCTTCAGCGTAAGTTCCTGTGACCAGTTGTTAACGTAATTGTAGAAAACGCAGCGAAGACTGGCCAGTTTCTTTTACTCGCTTCGGTATCGTGCTAGTCTGCTATTTGGGTGCTGTATTTCTCTGAATTCATGATCCGATTACGTGAAAATAATTCATAATTTACGACTCACAAAGCATCAGAGGTGATTTCTTGAGCTTGATCCTCTTGATCAGACGACTGTAGTTGAGAATTTTAGTGGTTAGGCCAATGGACCAATAAATCTGGCGTTCACAGTGAAAGTGAAAGGCTCGTTGATATAGGAATACCAAGTAGTTAGGGCAATTCGGTCGGAATTAGCTGCTCGCCTTTGTGTACACCACGCGGGACTTATTGCGATTAGCAGTCACAATGCCGGGCACCTCAAACTTGGGTAATTAAACCATTTATCATAATTATGCAACAGTCATAGCAATACAACTCTACAATTGATGCAACAATGATACGGGTTATGAGTAGGCCCAGTCTGATCACTGGTGTTCAGGTTGTTTATAAGTGAAGAGATTGGCATAACAGTACAACTGTATAATTAATGCAAGGATGATACGGGTAATGAATAGACTCAGCCTGATCACTGGTGTTCAGGCTGCTTATGAGTGAAGAGATTGGTATATGACTTTTACTACAAGAGATGGAGGTGAGGCACGAATGCGGTAACTTGGGCAGCATTGCTGTGACATGAGCTAGCTAATCGTGTGGCCGTTTATATACCTTTGCGCTGGGCGGAGTCAGATTACAGTAGGCGGAGTCGGGCTACAGTAGGCAGAAAGACGGGTGCTGGAAGCATTTCTCAAGCCTTGCGATCTGATAGGGCGATATTCAAAGCCTAGTACCGTAAGTGCAGATATTTTACGAGATAGGCGCCAACGAAATGTTAGACATACGGCTATCAGATCGTCATGGAGAAAAGGTCATGGGAGAAGCATTTGAAATGTTTGGAATGGTTATCAGATCGTCATGGAGAAAAGGTCATGGGAGAGTCATTTGAAATGTTTGGAAAGGTTATAATTGATTTACATAGAGAACATTCCAATATTCGTGAAGAATGTTCTCTATAAATAGTTAGTTCTCAGAGTTGCTAGCTGGAATTGACTGCTCACCTTCGTATGAACATGCGGGACTTTTCGTATGTCACAAAGCACAATCTCAAGTTTGTGTTATATCAGTTTATAGCAATAACAGCAGTACGATATTAACAGTGTGACAGTATACAAAAGAGTGAAGAATACAAGCTCCACTGCCAAGAATGAGATTGTAGGAGCTCTGGCAGAGAGAACTCGTAGAGAGTGCTGTGGAGAGAACTCACTCCAGTTATAGAGATAGTTTGAAGAGGAGGTGACAGAACTTTTCTCAGGCAATACAATTTGATAAGGTTGATCCAAAGCATAGTACGGTAGCCCCGAATTCTCACATCAGGAAGATACGACATGAGAAATTGGCAATGAATGTTTGTGGGAAGGTTTTCATAGAGAACTTTGCTCTTTGAAGATCACTAAGCAATGAGAGGGAAGTGCACACTCGACAGAGAAGTAATCGTTGTCTATAACCATTGAGTTCTCATGAATTTAGGGTGTCATCTCTTTTACTTCGTCATGTCATTCATTTGTTTAAAAAATACAGTTTCAATAGAGACTCGTAGGTTGATATGCAAGTAAGAAAGTTCCTTTTTGTGAAATTGTACGGTGATCTAAAAATTCCTCCTTACATGGTTGAGGTTTAAATGTTCTTGTATGCTTTGCTTTTAGAAATGTTTGACGCTTTCTAGCACTGGTTTTTTGATAACAGCTTATATAGCTAGGCTTTGTTTACAGAAAACATGAACACAGAATTCGGTTTGGTGTCTCGACTAAAATCACTGCTTATTGTGAATTTTGCTAACCTTTTCTCGATTATATGACAAGAATCACCCCCTCATTTATATACAGCATATTTGGAGGATGTGTGGCATGAGTCGGTTCTGATTTTCCTTTTTCATGGTAGCACAAAATCAAAAGCATTGCACAGAATACCAATAAGATAGTTAAGGTTCCTGGAGTAATAAGTAATTGTTTCTTACTTTCCATAAATGCTGTTTATGTTGATGCCTGGTAAATTTTGAAGATACGAACGTTATACGCTATGAAAATTTCGTTGTAGAACTTTCCGGATGGCCCAGTATTTTGACCAGTAAGGACTGGTCTTTAAGCATTAAAGTTTGGAAGAACAAAGAAATGTGATCGTTTCACTCTCTTTCACAATTTCCTTTTTTGTTAATTTTAACATTAACACGTGCCATCTACCGTCTTTTAAACTGGACGTGTGACTAGGCATGATTGAACTAGATGCTCGTTGATAACCATTTCGTGCAGCGTAACAGTAGAAAGTTTTGATGAGTCCTCTTTTTCCGTTCTTTTATTGTTATTTCTACTTGTGATATATAAGGACACTGATTCTTGTGCTCGAATTTAGTGAAACAGGTTTACCTTTAGACCCGTTGATCATCGATTGACTTAAACAAACACTAGTAAAGAGTTTTTCAATCGTGTTGTGAGTCAGAGCTACCACTTTGGCGCCACTTAATTGAGCACGAATATCACCATATCTGTAGTACAAAAACGTTCATTTTCATTTTTCCGTTTAAGGAGTTTGAGTCGAGAGTAGTCATCTGAACAATTGAATTGACTTTAACCTCCTTATTCGCTATCTAGGTACCTCCCACTTGACGTCATTACGACAAATCGATATTCTTATAAGTTACTGAATTATGCAGCTTGTTAAGTATTCCACAGCAATAAGTTACTATGTTGAAAAATTTAAAGAAAAGAAGATCTTGGGTATTTTTCTATTGAATGTGACATTTGTACAGCATAGTAAACCTTGAACACGAAGAAAAGTGCCTTACCATATTTGATGGCAGCGTAAATCTTCTCTGTTGTTAAATTTTACGAGCACTTTTAACGGAAAAATCACAATTATCTAAGACCGATTATGCAGCGGTATAAGTTTTTTTTTAATTAAAAAAGAATTTGAAAAGCAAGTTAAAGTTATTCATTGATTGAATCAGAAATATCATATTCATTTGTTTGGAAAACGTTTTCGGATTGTATTCGCATAGTGATTTGGGATGATTCAATCATGTGATTTGCAATCGAGATTGTTCGAATTTTTCAAGCCATCTGGTGAATTGAAAGAGCATTTATTTGAAAGGCTGTTCAATTTATATCGGGATCATGTTTGTTTGAATATTCCTCAACTGAAAGTGGACATAATGCAATGATATTGTGCATAGAACTTGTATGTTAGATTATATTTTGTGGTATGAAATAGTCCGACCAGAAAATTCGCCTTGAGCTGAATATGAGCTTTGAAACTCACCTTGCATTTCTTCAATGTCTCATTAAATTTTTTTCCTTTGAAGAGAACGCTTAGCAACTAACTTAGTGCTTATATACCAATCTGGATCATATTATAACGTTCATGAAGTGTATCGGGAGACTAATGTGCTTTAAAATCTGACATTCTTGATAATGATAGACATTGGTACGTGTGGGCACGCCTCTACCTTCTTAGACCTGAGGTGAGGTGTGATGAATTGGTCTCTACTTTATTTGATGAATGTTAAAGTTTCTGTTTTAGCACATTTGAGACGGTATAATTTACGTTTGCGATATTATTTGCGGCTTCCAACTGTAAGCAAACGGGTGTCGGCTCGTAATTAACTTTATTTATTGAGATAGAAGCACAAGCGGTCTTCAGATCCTTTCAAACAACATGCAAGCTTTGTTTAAGCTAGGGCAAGGTTGTTGTATATTATTTTTTAAATGCGATGGCTGACGTTTCGGAGATTTCGCCTTCCTCAGAGCTTAGACGTATTATTCCGTTCCGTACTTTATTATTGATATTTCCTAATTCTAATGAAAATCTAGCTCGAAAACCAATATAGAAGTCGTCCTACTGGAGGAAGTCAACTTTTAACTTCTTAGATGGAGTAGAATTAACTGTGTATGTCTGCACATGATGGACGATAAATCTTATTCAAGATTAAGAAGTTAGATAAGCCGCTATATCACGTGGTTGTTATCACAATCCTGGAGCAAGAATCAGAAATGTCAGCGCACAAAACCTTCGGGACTTACTGGATAATCTTCAAAAATCCGGAAAAGAATAGAAAATGGAAGTGCTTAACTCTCAAGTTTGATATGGCGCCTTATCACAGATTGATTTCTTGATTCGAGTAAGGTTTATTGCGCATAATGTGCAGAGAACACGCGGTTGATTTTACTCTGTCTAAGAAGTTAGAGGTTGGTTTTCCTTAATTGGCAGATTTTTAGATTGGTTCTTATAACAAATTTTCATTAAAATTAGGAAATATTAACCAAATAATAAAGTATTGTATGACATAATACCTCTAAACTTGCGTCTCTCTCTTCGTAAGGCGAAATCGCCGGAAAATCAGCCACTGCATTTGAAAAAGAAGGGTTATGCAAGCTTTGTTTTTCGATCAAGGCGATATTCCGCTTCTCTGAAGACCACAAGATATTTTGGCCTTTTTCTCCCGCGTAGGATATCATTTGAACTACATGACGATTGAACAAGTGGGATTTCATACGGCAAGATACGATGTTGTCGTCGAAAATATCATTGATTTTGCCTTCGCTGTGCGTGCGTTACATTTTAAAATTCCCAAATTTTGTCCCCAGTTTCTTAGAGGTTTGACTTTAAAATAACATCGTTAAACTGTTCATACCGCATAGTAGAGCTTCTATCAGTCTGTGAAGTTCCTAATTCTTCAACTTTTCTAATGATCGAGAAGTTGTTGTTAGTCATCAAGGTGATCGCTTATGCGCTAAAACATCTCGGAGCTATCAGTGTTATTTCCTGCAAACTTTTGCAGTTATGTTTAGTTTCTGTATATCTGTTCCTATTTAGGCAATAGTAGCACAAGGAGCATTAGCAGGAGGTAATTCTTCAGGTGAAGATGAAATGTGAGTTTGCTTTACGATTTATTCAATAGTTTCTCTGCTTTAGTTTCATCGCCATTGGCGCTAATCGAGACTACTAGCGTATACCTTATTTAGCTGACTTATTTAGAAAACATGTTTGAGCGTTAATTAATAATTTTCTCCTTTCTGTCGATGTTTAGTCTTACTTCTGGAAGTGCAACCTCACTATCGGCCTCAAACGTAGTCGCGATCGATAACAAGATTGAACAAGCGATGGTAAACTCTTTGTCGGATTTTTTTTATTTAAACATTTCCACAAGGAATTATTTTCCTTGTTCCCATGATCAATGCTTTTCCTTGCTCTTACTGATTATTCTCTTTAAATTTTTCTCTATTCATATTCATGTTCGGTCATATTCAAATAAGTTTATGCCTTTAACTTATCCTTCACTATTTTATGCACATTTTCACAGTAGACCCATGTATTCATCAAAGAAGTCAGTGAAGAAATCTCATGTTTGCCCAAGTTATGAATTAGAAGTCATGGAGAAAGAAAAGCATGCATGCCAAATGCAAATTTTCTTGCATAAGGAGAACAGGAGAATATATGTTTCTATGTCTTTATGTCGTGATGTTATAGCCTTCGATACTGTGTGGTGTTGAAGTGTTCTCCCTCTTTAACGGCACTGGTCACTTGTGAATACAGTTATTTTTCCCAAATTTGCAGACCATTTTGCACTTCCTTTTGACATGTTGAGTAAGCAGGAACTTTTAATGTATGTTTTTTATGTCTTCTGCTTCACGTTGTCCACTGTATTCCCTTTATCTGCAAAATTACGGTGGGCTAGCAGCTTTCAAACTTGGTTCTTCACATTATGCTTGATTCACCAGGACATTTTCTGAGGATCAGGCTGCAGCGCCAGTAATCTGTCAATCCTTGTAGTATGAAAGTTTCAAACTCATGGAAGTGACCAATGAGTCTTCTGATTAAACTATTCAACAGTGGTCGGTTGTCACAAGTTGTCCTTGTCTTGTATCTGTTGGTCAGATTTACAATCAGTTTGCAAATTTCGGCTATAAGTAATTCATTAAAATGTATCAGTTCCATGTGTCCGGGAAGAAGTGGTTACTGCATTCCTAACTAATTGTAATTGAAGGTTCAGATATTACCATTGTTTGGATCTTACCGCATGCTTCATTATCGTCATCATCATCACCTTTGTTCTTAGTATCCGACTCGCTTTTTTCGGAATCTTTTAGGGACAATTCAGGAGATTCCTCGTTAACTTCATAGTCTTAATTTTATTATTATTCATCTCAAGAAAAGGTTCAATCGAAGTGGAATTTCAATTTGTTTTGTGCCGATGCTCATCAGGGCTTGAGCATTCAATTTTTGGCCACTAATTGATTGTACTATCCTTCTGAACCGCCATGACAAATCGTGGTCGTAGTATGGAATTTGTTATGTAGATAACATTTGGAAAATTACCGAAATATATTCTACATATGATCCGAAATTGTTTGTCATAGGCAAACAGCACCAAGTATGGACTGTGGACGCCTTTTTTCACCACAGACTAGAGATGGAGGCATTCCTAAACACGAGATAGCACATGTAAAAACGTAAACGACACGTGGGAAATAAACACAGGAGTTTTATTAGAAGAAAGCATATTAAAGTCTGAATTGTAGAGTGAAAAATAATTCAATGTGAAGTAGCATATGGCCAGTGTGCCTTGTTTTGGATTCGTATGGTGCACAGTGAGAAATTGCGTATTATTTCAAGCGAGCGCCATTGAAAATTACATGTGGCGGATACTGACTTCATCTGACTGCTGTATTAAGTTAATAAGCAATACAATTTTTCTGCGTTGGGAAGATTTTTGATTGAAATACATTTGTATTTGTATTTTTCGCAGACAATTTGTTTTGTAACAAATTTGGATGGTAAATATATATGTAATAACTAGTCAGATGTAGTATTTAAGGGTTCCCGTAATGTAAGTGGGTTTCGGCACACGAGTTGAGCAAAACTTCTTAGTCACCAGAGAAGCTTAACAAATTCGTCGTGTTATTGTTAGCAAGGCGGGAATTTGTATTATGAGTGCATATTTTTTCCCCAGCGAAGTGGTTGTATTTGTAAATTGTAAAAACACTGTAAAAGAACAATTTTGTTATAATAGTGGAGAAATGGCGAAGTAGGTTAATTATTTGTTAATTGTTAATTACTCTATTAATGTTTTTCAAATTTTTTGACACAATGGTCAGGATACTACTTTCCATGCATGTTAATGGGCTATAAAAAGTTGATTAGTGTTGAACAATTATCTGTCGACCCTACACTTTATGGTTCGAGATTTGTTTCGACTAGCGAGAACTTGAGAACGAAAAGCAACTTCTTTTTTTCTTCCTTTCATTCTCTTCTAGGAATTAATGTTCTTAGGTATTGCTTTTAATGAAGTTTATACATTTTGTAGCAACATATTTTATAATAAAACAGTGGTTTTATTTAATTTGAAGCACATGGGTGTGTTGATAACCATCTAATCCTTGATTCGTTCTGGAACACCCGGTTGTAACTGTGCTTTGTGGTCAAATAGGTTTCATGTCACCAGCTCCTATTACTCTTTCTTATATGCATAGTGAACCTTTCATAAGTGCCGTCTTTGATGTCGTTTATGTTTTAGGACTTGGTTAAAACACACCTCACTTTTGCTGTTCGCGAAGAAGTTGAGGTTTTGCGTCAAACCATTGCAGAACTGGAGCAAAGGGTTTGTGTTTTCCTTAAGTAATTTCTCACGCAGCTCGTTGGTAGGGTGCTTAAATTTATACTAGGGTTTTGACTTGTGAAAAGGTATGCTGCGTCCATCTATGCAAATAATGATTAAAAAATAGGAAGGTAAACTAATAATGTGGGACAAAAACAGCTGTGAAGAAATTCACACAGAAATAAAGTCGATGTCACTTTCTCTTAAATCTCCTCTATTTAATGGGTCTTTTCCACACTTCAATTAACAGCATTTGGTCATCTGTCACTAGAATGGTTGTGATTCCGCCCTATGTATTAAAGGTTGTGCTGCGCAGTAGATGATGTTTATTTTTTCCTAATCCTACGAAAGTGCTTTCTGTATGTGTAGTACTTACTTTTTTTACCAGGTGTCTTCATTAGAAGGCGAGAACCAGATGTTACGTCAATACGCTCCACCAGAGGTTTTGAATAATATTTCCGCACTCGTTCTGCAAAGAAAAAGCAGTGCAAACCAATCATTTTCTGCACAACAATATTCTGCCTCTGTCATCAAAAGTGAGTTGTTCCTTTGTTTTTTTTTGAGTGGTGATCATGTTGTACTTGAAATACTCCGATGTTCTTATTTTAGAAATGACGACATGAGATCCAATGTGTGGTTCTTAAAGGAACTAACCTGTATCATTTGCCATTTATCCATGTTTCTTCGTTCTCATTATTGTGCAAATTGTTGTTTAGTTTTAGAAGTGACATACCTTTTTGCTCTTCCTTTCATCACTCTCTTCTCATATGCACATAGGATAGAGGAATTTTTTTCGAATTCTAATCATTACTTATCCCAGTCTTCGAATATTCATTCGATAGCTAAGGTAGTGAATTATAATGAAACTAATTGCCTAATCTTTGGAAAGTGGAATCGTGAAACAAAGTTGACTAAGTTTCAACATTGCTCCATTTGCTTTGCTGTGTGAGCATAACAATTAACATCCTCCTCCTTCCAATTTTGATAAATATTCGTGCATTTCATGAGTTTTTACTTAAACGATGTTTTCTGCCTTTCAGATGTAATTAATTTCACATCAGCCATTCTAAATTCGGTTTCATGTTCATTATTTTTTCACTATATCGTTTGAAGAGAAAAAGAGGGAAAAAATCTAAAAAGATCCTGTTGATGTGAAGAAGAACGTCCGAGAAAATTTGGAATCACACTTGTGTCATAAGAAGAACATGTTCGCTGAACACTGCTATTTGACATCTGGTGACAAGTTACGTATCATTGTGGTTTGAGGTTACTCATATAAGTCCACACAGAGTTACCTTAACACATTCGTGACAACGCAAGTTTTTCGACGGCTGCCGATAATTTCCCGATAACTTGAGTTGAGAGCTGAGAATAGGAACTTCTTTGTAGTAATAATACTGTCGAGTCTTATTAAAGCTATGTATGAAGCATATAAGGGCTGCTGTTGATCAATCGCTTAGGCTTGCGCCAAGCGTTGGACTCCATTAAGCATCGTGAAGATGATTGAAGGCAGAGCTGTCCAATATGGTGACTTGCGGAGGTTTACTGTTGTATAATGTCAGTGTTTTAATGCTCAGATACTAGTCTGGTAGCAAGCGACTCTGAATGATTTAACTCTGATTTACGTTAACTGCCACGACCGACTTTCTATTAACCTCGGTATTGATCAAGTGATTTTCTTCGTATTTTTGTTGAGCAAACTGATTCTGATTTACGTTGTTTTGAAAGCATCCTTTTTTTTATATTAAAGCATACTGGAGGAGAATTACACTCTTCTGTTTCCTTCTTTGATAACAATAAGATCATGAGGTAAGAATAAAGCCAAGTGTGGTATTAGTCATGTCGGTTCGTTTTGATGAAATTGTGTTGGACTCGAACATGGCAACAGCATTTATACGCACAACACCTCCGCCATGAACAGGACCATTAAGTTAATATGGTTAGGTGTGTAGTTTACCACTGAAGAATCTTGAAAGGAGGATCACGACAACAGAAGATAATGTACTCCATTGTAAGCAAGACTTCTCAATAGCACCTGCAAAGAAGAGATACATGCACTTCGAAATTACTGCATCACTGGAGTGAGATCGTGCTGATATAAAAAAGTATTTTCCAAGTTTTTTACAAGAGATAGTAATGTTTATGACAGATACCTTACGCTTCAGTGAGTTAGTTGTTCATCATCCAATTTGCATAGAATAATTTTCATTTGAGATTAATTTGTGCTAATTGGAAGAGGATTGAGACGAACGGATCCTTTCCTGATATCTTCGATTGTCTTGAAAGGTAAGTGTTAAAACTTGTAATTAAGAAATTGGGATATTAGTACTTTGCAAATGACAGCTTGGCTTAATCGATCATTAACACGATTAGTCATGATAGGGGTGAACTAGGAAAGTTTGTAAGATGTATTAAAATTTGGCCCTAACATAGATTATCGCTTTATGAATTAATTCTTAGTGACGACATCTATGGCTGGTCACAGTAAACGTGACAGTTTAGGGAAGAGTACGATAGGCGTGATGTTCGCATCCAGTTTGTAGTCTTCGTAATTTCTTCTGATTCGACATGTGCTAATTTAATTAAGAACTATGCAATTACAGTTAAAGAGCTTTGACCAAATCACTACAAGAGTAGTATCGACCACTCCAAGCAGGTGAACAATTTGATATGTTCGCCCCTACACCTAATTCTGAATTCACCCGTTTGAACCACGTATGATTTGGACTTACACTGCATCAAGTCTAAGAGCCTGTCTATCGACCCTCCTAGTACCTATCTTTAAGTGCTTCCACTAATCCGATTAAATAGAGGTTTGAATATGGTAGCGTCGAATAAATAGATTAAGCGTGAGATAAACAACTACTTGTCTGCGGTAAATAATCGCTTGTAAATGGTTTCTTTAAATTATAAGTTGACTTGCCGCACTGTCGTCTCTTTCAATCTCGTCGACGTCGATAATATTTAATTTCTGTGCATGATACCAGACATATATGTCGGTGAACATGGAAACTATACGAATTATGGTGTACATCACGTGCATTCTTAAAAAATTTTTGTTGTTTGACTGATCTTCTCCGTGTATACTAAGGTCGCAGATAACTAGAAAATAGCTCAGCATAAGTGTTACTACGATAGAAAATGTTTAAGTAACCTCATCCTAAGTGTGTGTGCCTCGTAGATTACACAGTTTCCTCTGTCGCTTGTGCATGAGGTCTCCCATACTAAACAAGCGCTATCAATCAGATATCCCCAAAGAACAGGACTGGGTAATGTGCCAAATAAGGATACAAGAAGTCCTTGAAGTCCAAGAGATTGTGAACGAGTATCTGTTGGAACAGACCTGAAAACATTCGAACAGATCTTTGTTCCTTTCTGATTTTTTTCCCTGTCTCTCTCTTGCTCTTCTATATAAAGGGTAAAAAGGATGATGCTCTCGGCGTTGATCAATCCTTTAGGAAAGCACCATGCATTCGACTTCATTATGCATCATTAGAGGTGACTGGATGCACATTTGGCCTATACTATAGTCGCTGTAGCTTACCGATATTGTTAACTCAGTGCTGCTATCCTTCCAAGTAGGTCTGGTACCAATTTGCTGACATCATGGAATTCCTGGTGAACGTGGAGCGCGGGAACGAACCCATGTGTGTTGCTGTGCCCCTCTAACCACTGCACTACACGCAGCGTCTCTCGTATATATATATATATATATATATATATATATATATATATATATATAATATGCATATATATACATATATGTACATACACATGTGTATACATATATATATATACGTATACACATATTGCTTTCGAACTATGCGGTATGGCAACCAACTTCGTTCACCCAGTAGGATCCTCCAGCTTGAGGAGCTTGACACACCTAAACCTATACAGTATAAATTACCGCCGTTCTGGTAGGAACCTAGTTGTTAGGTGGGAAATTTCGCACCTATCCACAAGGCCCGTCGACTGCCTGAACTATAGCGACATGCGGCCTGAGAACCTCAGTGTTTCGTGAAAGACAGCAACATAAATGGTTTGAATGTTGTGTCCTGCAGAATGAGAGGTCAGATGGTGAGACAACGGGAAGCAGATGATCAAATTTCACGTTGCATAGGACGTCACTTTAGACGATGATTTTTTTACCTATAAGACCAGAGCGATTTCAAATTCTCTTAATATTTTTGAAATTGACGGTCTCATAAAGCTACATTTCATTACCCGATAGAAAGAAAAGCATGAAAAGCGACACACGCTTCTCATCTTGAACTCGTACAGCGGATCCATCACCTCGCTTTTCCATCCTCAGCTACCAACTTCCGCCTAGGAAGAATATTAGCATTGCTAGTCTTGCTTATGTTTTGCGACATCTCTATGGAAATGATCCGAAACGAAAACTCATTCAATATATTGTCGAAAATTTCAACGTGAGACTAGGAAAAGATGGCGAAATGTTCATCGTGCGAAGTTTGACTTAGATTTAGGTTTGAAAGGAATCCTTGTCATCGTTCATGAAGAAAAAGACAATCTCTTTATAATGCAAGAATTCTCGGTGGAAGTGCTTCCCTTGGTGGCAGATCAGGAAAAGTTGGCCAAAGACCAGCAACTGTTCATTAAAAATTGAAAAGTAGCTGCGAATACGCTTCAGTTCTTCAGTTGTGAAAATCGTATCGCATCTCCACTAGTTATCAGAAGCTCCTCGAAAAACAACAAACATTGAGCTTGATTATGCAGCAACAGAACTGACGTAGCTGCTAATAAAAGCCACATGTAGATCTTTCGCAGGACTTTGACGGACAGACAGAGAAAATCACGAAATTAAAAACTGCTCGAAAAGAAAGAATGTGAAGAAATACCATCGGGTTCTATGTGAATACAACGTTCTGGTGCCGATCCTAATAAATGCGGATAGGATTACACTACCATCCGCCAAGATTTTTTCGGTTCCAAAATTCTTATTCCAAACCTTAAACTCCAAACAAACCTCAAGGCAGACACAGCTGCTTGACTGGATTAGATCAAAGCCATCGAGCTGGGAGCCGGGCACTCTCTGCGCTTATCGCAACCTATATGGCAACATGCCTACAAAATTTGGAGTACCATATCAGTGTAGGAAATCGCGAGCAACACTCAAAGAGGAGAGACCGGAGTGATCTTTGTACCTAGTACTAGGTTTACTTGTAGAATACTCTTCACGAAGATTATCGTTTTGTGCACACCAAGAACTTTAGATTAGGGAAAATCATTTAAGCAGGTAGGAGGAAAAAAAAGGGTTCTACTGCATTTACCTCTTTGAAACCGTATCTGAAGTAGTATCACTGCGTCGAAACGAATACAATACAATCCAGTGGTCGATCAAGGAGTTAAAAATTTCTCCATAAATATTCTAGCTGAGTGCTACAGGAACTGCAATGGGACATTGTAGTTCTTCAATCGGCCTTTTACTATCTCACGACCTTGCTCTAAGTGACGAATTCCAATGATTTGGTCAAATAGAGGACACACATTGATGACAAAATTTTACCAAAACTTTCTGTTGACGAGGTTAGTATCCGTTTCAGGTGTACCAACGGAGTTAGTAACGAAGCTCTAGAAACTTGGAAAATAGCGGCAAAGTGTGGAATTGCAATTAGTTCCCTTTTAATATTAATATTTGCATCACCCAAAATCATTATTGTGCAAAACTTGAAACCTCTTTCATGCGACTCGCCTCCTAGTATTCATTATCCACAAGGGTTTTCAGAGTTTCACATGGGTTTGTTTGTTGCTTCAGGATTTTTTGCCCTTTATGAATGATGTAAAGTGGTGAGACGATCCTTCCTGGAATCCTGTGATAGCTGTGCTAGGACGTTTGACAGCTTAATGGATCGTAGAGTGTTTTCCACACATGTCTGCTACGAGGTTCCTGACAACGAAAGAATAGGGTTCATGCTGGACTTTGACGGGATCGAACCAGGGACTTGAGTGCATTGAATGGCCTCGGTGCCACTGCAGCGCACATGCCCAACATTTTTTAAAAAGGAAGATAGCGCAGTTTATAATAAATTCATTATGCACACAGAAACGGTTAGAAATGCACAGTTCTCATAGCACAGAGTGTTATCATTTAAAGACACCGAAAAAAGAACTCAAAATATCAAATTTGGCTTTTTGACTCAACGTTGCTCATAGAAATTCTGCTATGCAGCTGAGAGCTGGGCTCGTATCAACTACTTTAAGAGTTCTGCGCACCACTCACAAGCCCTCTCTAGGCTGGCTTACAAAACAATCGCGGCACGCGCAACTTCATACTGAGCAGCTTTGAAAACCTTTGCAAACTATGTGAGCTTCCAGAATATTGCAGTTTAAGATGAAAAAGCAGCTATCGATCAAATGAGTTGATGCTCTGTGAAAGAGTGGAACACTACAGTGACTCAAAAAGGTTAAAAACGTCACCTTGGACGACGAAGCACAAGATGAGGAGCGTATCGCGGCTCACGTAAAATAGCTGTATTCGCAGTTGGACACCATTTTATCGAGTGGTTCTTTCAGATGTTACTGATGGATAGAAAAATCGCTCCCAAAGAGGACATTCGTGAAGAAGAACAAAGCTAACTATGTGTTGAAGCTCACACTTTTGGTGAGGTCGGGTTTTTGAAGCTCTCACAAGATTTGCGGGCTGGATGTAGAGGTTCAAAAATGATCACTCCTATAATACCTGACGCTTTATTTCCACTATTTTTGCATGGAAAGTAGTAACGAGTAACGCGCCGTAAAGAGGCTATTCTCTTCCTCATACAGGTTATCTCTTAATTCTGTACTTATACAGTTGTCATTGTCCCTTGGATCCTTCTTTTCTTCACCCTCCAGCAGAACCAAAAGAAAGCCCGCATGGCCTACGTCAAAAAGAAGATGTATTTATTTCGATTAAATAATTTTTGCCGAACTAGGTAATGCATGCCAGGCCGTGGCGTAGCATAGATTTACAGTTCTCCACAACCTTTTCCTCTCAATAGATCTTATTATATTTATGTACATATAATATGGAGTTTATTAAGAATTTTTATCCAAATTTCATGATCTCACCATGTTGGACAATACTCTAAAATGTTAGCAAATATAAAATAGAGTGTAGGCGTCTGCATTACATTGCGATCACACCTTCAATGTATTATACCTTAGTTGGTGAACCCTCTACTGCATTCGACATTGGTGCTTGAGAATTTTTTAAACACTCGGTGCTTTTCTTACCTCAGTAAGATGAGTAATCCTGGTACAACACCCATTCCAGCAAATAATGCACCATTTAGTACCAAAGAAAAGAAAATAATTGTAGGGATTGTACAAGTATGCTTGCAAAAATCTTTTCGGACCATTCCACCATCTGCACAGTCACAGGATGAGAATTCCTAAATCATGCCAAGGAAGCTCACAGCCGAATAATTCAACATTATGAACAAATGAAATTTGACTTGCCATGTAATCGCTCTCATCACGGTCTACTTTCACTTCTCGGCATCCAGCATGACAAGGAGAGAAGAAAGCATATCTAAAACGAATCTTTGGTGACCGAGAGCACGCTAGAATGCAATTAAGAAGGAAGTGAAGAAATCTTTATACCCTTTTATATCGCAAACTGGATACAGTCGAGCATCGGCACAGCCGCAGTCTGAATTACAGACATGTGTAAAGTTGTAGTTGTTGTCCCTAAAAATCGTTTTGCAAATCAATAACGACTGGCAAGTAGCTTAGTGGTAGTGTTGTTGTTCATAACGCGGCAGGCCCAATCTACCTATGTAATCTACGGATCTTGGCCTAAAACGTGCATCTTCTCTCATTCTACTATTATGAAATTCTTGTTTTCTTCGATCACGAAACGTATTTTTTCACTTTTTCGTATCATGAATCGTATTTCAGGCATGAAGCTGAAAAATCGGGCGAGTTTGTTTGAGAGGGACCTGATGATGCTCCTCACTATATCATTAGTGTCCATGGCCACCGCGTTTAAATTGGAAACTTTTAAAAAATTCGATTACTGCGACGGCTCAGGACTCTTCTATATGTATTTGAGGTTCCTAAACCATCAGATACTCTAGCGGTGGAGAAATTATCGTCAGCTGCAGAGAAAGCAACTTCGGCTGTTACTCGTAGCCTTCCTAATATATGTACAAGAATTTGGCTGACATGACTTTCAACAGTGCGTGTACTGAATAGAATCGTAACTAGCAATATGAAATGATAATGAATTTGACGTTGATCAATCCTGGAGCCATTCGCCATGCATTCGACTTCATCAGAGGTCATAGAAGAGGTTGAAAGCGCTTCTGGTCTATACAGTGACTTTCGTTGCGAAGCGATGTACAAGGTTAGCCCTGCTATCCTTCCAAGCAAATCTGTTACCACTTCGCCGACCACGAGTGAATTGAAGGGTTTGTTATGACCGTGTGCGTACTAGCGATTTTTTTGTTAGCGACATCGTACTAGCGATACATCCAGTGCGCACTGCAGGTCACCTCTATCCACTGCTCAGCACCTGTGCATACTAGTACTACAACACCTGTAACACCTAATGAGGAATACTATAGGTAAATCATGTGAGTGATAACTATGTCAAACGTTCAGGGCATAGAAATATGTGAATACATATTTAATAAAGAAAACTTTTTCCAAGAAGAGAAGTGCACTTACGTCGTTACCTTCTAATTCCTTTCCATTTTCTGCAGAGTTCTCAAAAATCGTCAACTTAAGGTATTGCATTAGGAGATAATACAAGTGCGAGTCCTCAATTGTAGTGTACCGAAATTTTGTAGTTCACCGGAAGCAATCACCTGCCGTTTAATCCAACACTGTTCACAACAGATTCGCAAGCAATGAACGCCTTTAAGAAGAATAGACCCATGTTCACCGTCGAAACAACGAGTACAAACATGGCAGCCCTTCTTCCGTTCAGTCGATAGCGATGTGTAGCAAAGCCGCCAATTATCGTTCCAAGAGCAAAACCGAATACGCCAAACATTGCTGTAAAATACCATACTCATTGAGACAACATAACACCTTTTAGTTGATACTGATGCATCGTGTATATAGGGATTATATGTTTTAAATATATATTTGGCTGCTGAAGATCAGTATAAACTCGCCCATGTAACGATGAACCTTATACTGAGGAATTCCGAAGTGGTTCTCTAAATACTTTGGAAGGAAAACGAGATAACCCTTAAAGGCGAGAACGTCACAGATACGGCCGAGCACAGATCCAACGTATATTTTTGTTCGGAATAGTTTAGCGTAAGAATGCAGAAAATCTGAAACTGCTCACTACATCGAAAGCAATGAAATATGAGACACTGAAAGTACAATTGATAAAGAAGTAGGAAACGCACCTATCGCTTTTTCACGTAAGCAACTCTTATCCTCCTTGTTATCTTTGCACTTATCGAAAAGATTTATTCGTTTCTTCCGCCCACCAGAACCACTATCACAGCAATAGAACTCTTTAGTTTGCGTTTAGAGTGATCGTATGAATTTCTCACCTTTTAAATTCTACAGGGAAAAAAAATAGCGCTACTGATGGAAATATTGTAATAACTCCAATAAAGATAAAGCCTATCCACCAAGCTCCAATCCATGCCGGGTCAGATGGAGTAATTCCTACGGGTGCTGAAGGTAAACCTCGTTATAAACGCTTTTAAACCTTCGACATACCTCACTTACGGTGTAGAGTGTAATAAAGCTTATTGCAAAAGCTTCCTAATAGAAATCCGCTAATTGGTCCAAGTACACGAACAAATGACATCCCAGCTGAAAATTCTCCTGATTATGTTGTACTGCACCTTATATTTAGACCGCTGTAATAAGCTTCACCAAAATATGCAGGAAGGCTTTTCCGTTTGACATTGTCATCCACGAGAGGAATGCCAAGACTCCAAGGCATAGTTCTACCAATTCCAAGGAAAAATAAAGCGGGTAGCAGAATAAATAACAGGCTTTTATTACCACTGTTATCCGAGCAGCGGAGATTCTGAAATATGTTTTGAAATCCGTTAATTAAGTACGAAAATTACATTGCACTATAAGTAAATAAATTATTGTTTAATGAATGAACTAATTACGAAGCTTCTAATGACCAACATATGAGATAAAGCTTCCATCGAAGGACTTTAATCTTCTAGAAAGGTACCGTCATGATTCTCCGAAATTCGTTCACCAGTTGACCACAATACGTGAATGGAGCTACCGCACTACGTCGAATACGGAATAAATCCGAACTTGCTTTGTCACTGCGCCGTCGAACGAATAGTGAGAAAAACTGGCGGAGTTCAGTGGTGGAGATGTTGCCTGCAAGTGTGCCGGGAACAAGGTTCATCGCCTAAAAGTAGTTCTAGCGAAAAATTCGGTGTAACACAAATTTGTTGGTTTATTACATCCAAACCACTTTCCCACTCCATTTAGTTCTAAACGATCTCCAAAATACTATAAAATATTAACCTGGAGCGATCTTAACCATAAGCAATCAGGGCAATATTTATCGCTAAAAATGATAATAGTCTTTGTGTAAAATTAGCCTCCTAGCTCACCTCATTCAGCAGGTCTCCGTCAATGGAATAGTAGGCGTATTCTGCATTATCGTTATGAGTCGTCCAATTGGTGACAGAATCACTCATCTAAAGGAAACTGCAAGATCACTTGTTTATGGTTGAGATACCATAATTGAGATACATTGTTGAGAGACGATGGCTGCGGTATTGATCATGTGGAAGAGATTGTAAGATCATTTTTCGCATATAAATCTAAGGACTTATGCGAGTTTCTCTTCATTTGCGTCACAAGTGCGCTTAATCTTAACTGTGAATTAAATTACTCCAAGATGGATTGAAAAGGCAACTACGATTAAAGAAAGAGACCTTGTCGTCATCATCAATGCTTTTTAAATTGAGCAGCCTCTGAAGCGTGTCCGAGGGAATTCTATTTCGAATGAGTGGGTAATCCAATAAATCTCGTAATGAAGCTCTTGTGGATAGTTGTGACGGTGATGGCTGTAGTCTTTGCTGAAAGGCATATGTGTGGGTGCTGAAATCGACTGACAAAACATAAATGAAAAGGCTTAAGCTCTCAGTGTTGATCAACCTCTGAGGGATGTCCCATGCATTCGACTTTATTAAGCATTGTTAGAGGTGGTTGAAGGTATATTTGGCCTATACATTGACTTGTTGCGGCCTACAGATATCTAGTTGGTGTTGCTATCCTCACTGAATAGTCTGGTGCTAATTTGCCCAACACGTAGAGATTGAAGACTAGGCTGTTCTGGTGAGCATGACCGATACCATGTCTATGGTAGGGCCCCTCTAACCACTGCGCCACACGCTCTGTAGAGACTTTCATCTATCTGGAAAAGACAGTGGCAGCTCACATTCGAATTTTTGAAGAAAAACATTGCCACTTAGTATTCATCCAATTATCTGCTCAGAATTATGGCTAGGTGTGTGCAGCTGATCTTTGTTTTCCAATGCCACATTACATTCTGAAGTGTCATTTAGTGTTGTTATTACCGAGATCATATGCATATGGTACCCTTACTAGGAATTACGTATCTCACCATTTTCGCGTCTTTTTTTTGGTAGTTTTCTGCACTCGGACACTTGACAGTTCTTGTTTATTATCTTGTGCGCACTTCACAGTTCACAGTTACCATTAGCGCAATTACTTACTTAATGCTTGAATGGGTTGTGTAAGCCGCAGCATAATCTCCATTTTTCGGATATTTGCCGGCTAAGCCACTGTGGTTCCCTGGAGTCCCAAGATCAGCCTGGCTAAAGTCTGCCCCATTAGTGCAACTGGGATTTTGAAATTGTGCAGATACTCAAGCAGAGCATAAAATGCCCATAACAAAGTGCGAGAGTCTGTGTTATGGGCTATTAAAAATATTATTGTATTTCATGATTCTAGATTTCATTGTTTTAGTGTTTAAGTATTCGCTCAGACATGCCCCTTATTTTAACTTCCACGGTTGACAAATCTTAACAACTTGCAGCGAAATGTGTAGCTTTAGAAAACTGTTTAGTTTGTAAGTAGCAAAACTAATAATATTCTTACAGGTCATTAGATGCCATCACTCCATTTTCGAAACTCGGAAAGCGTTCGAAAAAGAGCTTTCAAGAGTAGAACGATGGCAAAAATATTGGTGTTGAAATCCTACAAAATAAACAAGTATTTGTTTAGATATCAGAGAGGTGTTAGCCAATTCGTGCACATACAAAAACAAGGATGGTAGGTATGAGCAACACTTATAACCCTAGAATTTCGAACCATAGACTACCTTTGCCGTGGGCGCAGATGCTGTCCACCACGCCATACCAGATCCTCCCTTGAGTTTCTCTCGGTCGTGCGTCTACGCTGTCAGTGCTATTAGGCGGAATAGGCAGTAAATAAAAGTTAAGAGACATCACCTCTTTAGGGAACGGATAACGCTGTGATTACAGGAGCACTGTAATGCGCACTGGATCAGTTGCAAGTGCGATCCTACCACCATGGTTCACCAAGAATTCCAACTCTCCAAGGTTCGTAAATTGATTCAACTTGTCTTGGTGGATAACAACACTGACTTGATGCATCGGTAGACCATCTCAAGGCATTTTATAAGAAAGATATACATCCGATCACCTCTACAATAACTGATGAAATCGAATATATTGCACATCCCTCAAGGATTTACCATGTTTGGGCAGTATGTATTAGCATTGAAAGATATATTAACATTGAATCGTAAGGATAATAGAAGCTTTTGAGAAAACTAGCACTCGTCTTTTTCACCGCGTGGACAGAAAACTAAAGAACTATAAAGAATAACGACAGCTTTTGACAGAGAAAGGCATCCCCATATTGAGAAGCGTCATAAAGGTGCACGAATATGAGCAAGCTTGACGTTAATGTTCGTAATATCTCTTTTTTCTCCGAAAAACACGATTAGAATTTTCATCTGTCTAATATTAATGTATTCGTTTGCTAAAGCTGCTGCAATAATCCAAATACCACGAAAGGTTGCCAATTTTGATTATGTCTTTCTATTAGCTACGATTGGGATTTCAACAGCTTTGACAAAGGTTGCTATAACTATTGCTTTTTACCAAATTTCTAAAGGAAGGTATGATTAAAAGCTGACACATGAATTAACAACGTGTGAGCCCTTGAGACAAGGAAGTGTACCTGTATTTCTGACGTATTAGCTTGTGGAACGGCAACAGGATATATAAAATTTGGTGATGCAATAGCGAGGTAAGTGAACGCAGCCAGAAGTGCTCCGCTTCCAATCCATTTTGCACGATTTCCTCTCGATCCGAAATACGCGACAAATATTACGGTTGGGATATACCCAAGATCACCTGCAATACCAAGAGTTACCCTTCAATCTTGAGTGAAACCGTATGGAGGATGCATTAAATTTAACCCTCCAACACAACAACTGTTTTTAACTTTTGGATGGAGAGAAGGCTCTTAAGCCGCAGATATTTACGGTTTGTACAAATCCAGTTATATTCCATTTTTCGTCTCAATAGAATCATGATTTATGGCAGTAATCCAGCATTATATTTTGTTCAATTAACTCTATAGAAATAAAATTGGACAAAAAAACGACTTCAGGGAGATTTTTGCATGAACTCAAACGTCGCAATATAGACGTTCATCCTAGCCACAAAATCTTTAAGGTCAGAGAATTAATGGGTGTCACGAAGAGCATTGTGGCCCAAATGAAAACTTTGAGAAAGAGCACGGTCAGAGACTTGTGTTTGCCATTGATCACTTCAAGAAGACTTTTGCATGAATTCAAACGTCGCAACAAACGTTTACCGAAGAAGATCCACACGAATTTGTACGATAGCTTTAAGGAAACACTGCACGCAGGTACAACCACATAACTTAGATTAAAAACTGAAAAGTTGGGAAGAAATAATTACCCCGTTCTTTGAATAAAAAAAGGGAAAATAATCGTGATAGAGACTGTTTGCTTATTTCCATGGATTCTCTAGGATAACCTACGACGTTCTGCACAATGGTCGGGTTGAAAAACAACATCGAAGTTATGCTATATGATGAAATGAGATCTAAGTTATAGTAGCGTTATGACAACCATCCGGTAGGCGGAGTCGTCTAGGAAACGCTAAAGAATCGTGTTAAAGTTTCAGTAACAAAGAAGAACTGTTGGGAGATGCTAAGAAATCTACGGAGAGCATCAACGTCTGCGAACATCGTTTAAATAAACGCTAAGGGCTAATTCATTCGTTAACTCGCGAGTTCCAAAATTATGGATTTTTCCAATGGCTGAACAAAAGAAGCTGGAATATATTGCTGAGGTTATTCAAATTCTCATCGCTTCTATTTCGATGAACAAAAAGTAGTGGACTGAAAGATTGGCAGGACTCCTTTCCATAGTGGGTTACGGTATAAATCGCAAGAAATAAAAAGCGCGAAACCCTGGTGCTGTCGAATCAATTCGATTCATAAAAAAACCGGTTTCGTTCGATAGAGAAAGATCACTCCGAAAAGCTACTCTGTTGGTTCACCGCTGTTTTCATCTCATTTGGCATCCTTGTCTCGTCGTACAGAAGGTTAGCGGAGAGATTAGTTTTCCCCGACTTCTTCACATTGCACAAGCGAGCTTTTTAATGCCCTTTCACCTGTTATACACATTGCTAAGAACACGCGATCAAAATTGGATGATCCCACATCTCTCAAATGGAAAAAATTATATTACGAGTCAAAAAACTACACATTAACAGTAGGAGAAGACAAGGAACACAACACACATGGTGATCTACAACACTTAGGGAATCGGAGATGGTTTTGTTTAAACTGTTGACAGTTTTTCGGTTTAATCAATGTACTTGAAAAGTCCAAAACGTGATCGGAGTATAGTAGAGGCGTTGCTCTATCTACAGAGAAAAAGTTAAAACTGTTATTCCCTTTTAAGGTTTGCTTAAAATTGGAATTTCCGAACATAATGAGAACGAAATTTAAATTTTACAAGTCCGTGGGAAACCTTGGCTCTCATAAACACCAATAACGGATTTGAAGACATAATCGTGTTGGACGAAATGCCACTTGCTTAAATGTTTTTTGTTTCTGAAATAAGAGCACTGATACAAACAAAGGAAACAAATTCAATGTTTTTCATCAATAAGCAGACACGAGGTTGTTAATATAGAATTTATTAGAACACAATTGCTGACGTTTCGGCGGTTTCGCCTTCTTCAGAGCCTGGAAAGGTCAAATTGAGATGCGATCTACTCAGCCAAACACTTTCATAACCCCAGCAGATAAAACTTGATAAATCGATTCAAAAATGAACCGCAAGGAGGAGTGTCTTGTCATCACGCGTGACCTAGCGCCATACCTCAGGCTGATCCAATGATCTGACATGGACCCAGTTATCGACCATGTATTACTCTGTGCGGCGGCTATCCACCAACTAACTTAAATACTTACAACAAATAAACGGTAGGTGTTTGAATGAAGCTGTTTCTTATGCGAATACAAATCGATTTATCAAGTTTTATCTGCTAGGGTCATGAAAGTGTTTGGCTGAGTAGATCGCATCTCAATTTGACCTTTCCAGGCTCTGAAGAAGGCGAAACCGCCGAAACGTCAGCAATTGTGTTCTAATAAATTCTATATTAACAACCTCGTGTCTGCTTATTGATGAAAAACATTGAATTATCAATTAATGCCGAGGTTAACAGAAAGTCGGTCATGGGAAAGGAAACAAAATTAAAACTTATGGGCTCCAATGAGTGAAAATTTAATCTTGGTCGAATGAGAGATCTTGTATATTACTGGTGAAGATCCGTATGATCCCTAATTCAACTAATAAAGTTCACTGTGAGCTGTGATATGTTGGTTTAGTGTAGAAAGCAGTCGTCATTTTCGAACCGTGCGACTGCAAATCAGCCCATGTCGGACTGTGAAAGTTAAAGCTCATTTCATTTACACAGTTATGTCATTGAAACGATGCAAACATGAAAAAAAGAACAAAACCCAGCTCAAAACCTAAGAACAGCACGGTGGTAATAATTCAGAAATAAATGACACCACTACAAAACTATTAGACAAGGTGATTGACAAGGTGATTGAACGGTGATTGTTGATGGCAGAATTCGATAGAAGTAACTGAGAGACAGGCAAAACGAACGACCCACATGGTGTGGTGGTGAAGTGCGCTACTCCCCGGAAAGGGCAATAGCGCGTTCGTTCTCCACCCCAGGCACCTGCGGTCCGGAGTTTTGCAAATATCTCAGCATCATTGAAGTTACATTTCGAAATATGCCGTGCCATCAAAAAGAGTGGGTAGGAAACAAAGCGGTTGAGATATCTGACAAGGATTGATCGTGTTGTTATAAACACTCTGTGTTCGTTTTAACCATGTAAAATTACGAACTGCCCTTGTTGAGGTGAAGCGATGTTGGTAACAATCGTTGTTGTTGTTGTTGCGTTACATGCCAAACTAGTTTACAGATGAAAATACTGATGTCTTCAGAAAAAAGTGAAATTATGCTGGAAAACTTCTTCCTTCTATTAGCGTGGGAATAAAAATGAGTAAACAGCAATGTATGCATTAGTAACTAACCACCAAACACTGTGCACGCTATTTATGTGTAAAGCTACATTTGTAATTAAAATCAAGTACGTGATTAACTAACTTGCCGATACCATCAGACCAGAGATTTTCGACGGAATTTGAAATTGTCGCTCGATGTTCTGAATAGCTGAGATGAGGTAGCTCCCTCCAATGGCCTCGAAAAAATATACAACCGAGAGCAGTCCCAAGAAGATATGCATTCGTCCCATTCCTAACGGGGATTGCTTGGATATAACGAGAAAAGAGTGACAACAGCAGCTCGGAGAAATAAAGGAGATTTATGCCGAATTCGGATACAGCACAGGATTCCGTTCCAATCTTGGGATATTACAAGGACCCTAGAATAGAGATGGTAACGACTTTGCTATTAGCGTTACAGGCGCAGTAAAAAGCGAACACCTGCCGCTGAAGGAAGTGTCATATGAATCACAAGAATGATCCAGTTAATAAGACAATTAAGAAAGCAGATACTTATTTTTTTTCCAGAAATCTACACGCATTGATAGCTTAGCAGCTGTATCATTTCTACAGACTATAACCACTTTTGTAATCGAATGACTCGTATGGGAAACGGGAAAGCCTTCATGAATTCACACAGTATATGTTTGCCTTGAAAGCTGGGTATACCAAAACACTCGTTGTTAATCTCTAATGAAATAGAGTTGGTATTACTTATTCGCAGTAGCCACCAATGAACTGCCATGTATAGTACCTCTTCTTCAAATGTTTTTACGCTTTCGTTGGAATTGCTGTGCTGGGTATAAGCATGCACATGTATGGAAGCATACTGCCTTACTCAGTCATGAAGAGGAGAGAGGGGTATTAAATGCTCCATGCCACGGAAGCTACTTCTGGTATTAACTGTAGAGAAAATTGCTACTCAAGGAAGCAACATTTCAATAAATGAGCACCCAATCGTGGTTTTCTTGCTACTTATTATATATTTCTTTTCTTTAATTTTACATGACTCATCATCACATCTGTGCGGATCCCAGAATCTTGCGTTCGGAATGTTCGAAGGCTGTTGTAGATGCTGGATACGAGTCGTTTCCTCGCATCCAACATCTACAATGATCTTCAAACATTCAACGCGTTGCTTCAGCTGCTGTCTGAGTAACTCGTCTTCTTTATGCATGTCGTAAAATTCTGGTTGACTCATTTCTCCTTGTAATCTTGGAGATAGCCGGGCTAAGGCGCTCCCATGTGAAATGGATGAGAACGCTGAGTCAAAAATCGAACTATCACCTTTGCCTCCTTATCGACGGCGTCATTAACCACTGTTCCATTCATGCTCTTCCCTCCCCCACGTATTTCACCATGAAAAAAGGTGAATGTAGTAGGATTTACTATGTAATCACCGGTTATATAGCTTAAATGAAATATTCACAGTAACTTCTGCTCAACGTAAAGGTCATGGTAAATGCTTCAGGAAACATGCACATGTAATTGTAATTTCGTGAAGTATGGAGATAATGAATACAAGTCAAGAAAAATCAAAGCTAGTGATCACAATTTGATAAAATGATGGATGCATGGTTTCAAAGTAATTAGCGGTCGTAGAGATGACTACAATGAAGAAACAACATGGAATATAGACAATATGAGCAAACGGTGTAAGTGAATATGTGAAATTTGTATATATGTGGAGGCATCACAGATCGCTCGCCGCAACAGGTTTCGTACATTTTCGCCAAAGATGCGCCACCCCACTGAAGTTCAAGTGTTATTGGACAGGATTTTTGCATGTATAACAACAACTTCAACGAATTCCTTAATGTTTGAAATACATCCAAGCTCAAATTTCTTGCATTCATTCACTCAGTAGAATTAAAAATATGTAGTTCAGTGATATTGATGAGCGGCTGTTGATTGAGTACGTTGCTACTTCACAACAGACAGGTTTGTTGGGATGTGAAGCGTGAGAATGTAATAGTTACCACACGAAGTAGATCGTGCATTAGATGAAAAGTTAGTTAACAGACTGCATCGTCTGTCTTAAACAGATGACTTGAACAGGAAGTTCCAAAGAACTGGTATACCTGCTGGCAAATGTTGATTACCGTGTCAATACCTTTCTTACACACTCTTTTCCGGTCAGGGGACCTACCTATAAAGTGAGATTTCATGTATGGTACCCTCTTCATTACATAAAAAACGAAATCTAAATATTCCGAGCAAAAGACCGATGTATCAGCACACATTAGCACATTTGTGACCGTTTATCGATAACTGACAAGGATTTCTCGAAGCGTATCAGGAGTTCGAAATTCTGCAGACATGTAGAGAAAACTTTGCGAGCAGTACAAGCAATTTTTATACAATATTTCTCAAAATTTAAATATATGGAGAATCAAGACTTTGATAAAATCCAACTTTAGCAAAGAAAACTCAAAAATTTGTAAAATTCAAACTATACAACGGTTTAGCGTCAGCTTCAGACATAAACGATACAGTGAGGAGCACTGTCGTAGCGTTGTGGAGCAAATTACGTTTACTTATTGGATTTTGTATTAGAAATATGAGTCTTGAAGCTATAAAGTGGAAGAGATGTATACCATAGGCTACTGAAAATTAGGATTAGTCTCCAGCAGGATTAGAGGGTTGTTGCCCACGCAGAAAAATTCTAAATTTCAAAAGCTTTTATTGAAACTATTGGAATTTACCAAGAGGTGAAATATGTTGACCTAATGTTGGAAGTCTCCCAATGGTTTACCGCCTCATCGTCGTTGGAAGGTGTCCTGGGTGTCGGGATGCGATGCACAGCGGGAGGATTCATCCCCCCGGCAGGATCACCCAGGCTGAGAAGGTGTCCTGAGTTCCCATAAGAAAGCCCAGCTACGACTAAACAAATGGCAGGCATGATCCACCACCGTTCTCGTATCAAATTAGCCGCATGGTGGCAAATATCACTGTGATCCACAAGAACTGCGATTGTCTATGGTGGTGACGACCTGGGACAAACTTTATCTAGGCTGACCTCGGGACTCCAAGGAAAAACAATGCCTAAACCAGCAAATCTCAGAGGAATGAAAATTATGCTGGAGTCCGTACAACCAAATAACCAGGTAAGTAAGATTGGAAGCAGGCGCATTCTCGCATCGCATGAGTCCTATAGAAGTTATGCCGTTGCGAATGTGTTAAACAACTGCGAGAAAAACGAGAATGAGCTTACTTAACGGAGGCTTGATTAACGACCAATTCCATATGATCTGCTTCACACTAATAACTATAGTTACTAATCCTTCTAATCTGAAAAACTACATGTCTTTTACTTAACCTGGGGCGATGTTCGATTCGGTGGGTTAATTTTGTCTTAGCTGCACCACTTTCACTTATACCATCAATATATACATATATATATATATAAACATATATATATATATATAGGTACATATACGTATACATATATATATATATATATGTACATATGCACATGCGTGTTAAACATGTGTTAAATATATACATATACGTATATTTATATATATATATATATATATATATATATATATATATATATATATACAGTGGGGCACATGAAAGTGATGCATTTGAAAAAATGAGCTCAACCGCTTAATCGAACATCGTTTCAAGTTAAGAGATATGAAGATTTACATTAGTAAGATTTGGAACCTGTTATAGTTGTGTACGGCAGACCATATTGTTTTGTGTACTAAGCCGTCAATCAAATCTCCGTTTGAAAGGCACACTCTCATTTTGGTAGGAATTGGTTGACACATTCGCAGCAACATGACTTCTATAGATGCAAAAATGAAGGCCACTTCCAATTTTAGATCGAAATGTTCCGGCTCATGCTGAATTCTACTAATTGCAATAAAGGTATTTAGAGTAATAGAGTATTAGAGTTTCAGTAATATTTAGTAATAGAGTTTTAGTGTTAGTTAATAGAGTTATTAGTCAAAATCTTAACTCTTTTATTTACTGCCTTTTTCTTCTTAATGGCAGGGTATGTTGTGAAATATAACTCGTATGAAGTGCTGAGATATCTGCAAAACTCCGGACCACAGGTGTATGCAGTGGAGAACGAACACGCGCTGTTGTCCTTACCAGGGAGCAGCGCACTTCACCACTACACCATCCGGGTCAGCACTTCATACGAGAGTTATTAGTATTAGAGTATTAGAGTATTAGAGTATTAGAGTAATAGAGTAGTATTAGTATAGAGTTTAGAGTATTCAATCAATGCCGAGGTTAATAGAAAGTCGGACTTGGGAGTATTTAGAGTGTTCAAAGTTTCTGTAAGAAGAAAAAGGGATAAAAGTCTCGGCGTTAATCAATCCATGAGGGATGCGCCATGCCTTAGACCTCGCTAAGCATCGTTTGGAGGCAACTGAATGCATATCTGGCCTTTACAATGACTTGCGGAAGCTTATCAATGTATAGAGCAGGTGCTGCTACCCTCCCAGACAAGTATGTTAGCAATTTGCCAACCCCGAAGAAATGGAGCGCTTGGTGAGCTACGCGAGCGAGGATCATCCCATGTGTGTTGCAGGGCACCTCCGACTACTGCTCCACACACGCCATAATTTTTTAATTTTAAATCAATTTTAAACTAAATTTTAAAATTAACATTTTGTGTGGATGAAAATCCTCTAATTTTATCGAGATCTTTGTCACAAAGTTTTCACCATGAACATTGTTTCATTCGAACAGTTAACAAACAACCTGAATCGGACGTTTGTTGTTGAATAGATGTGGTTCAAAACATGTTTTCCCAATCTTCGCCTGTTACCACCCACACCTAGCTATAACGAAAGATAAGTCGAAGAATTCCATATGGACTAGGAGGAGTTTTATAGAGAAGACCATACATTGTTCAAACACCACTGGAAGCTCTAAGAGCTAAGGTTGGACCCAGAAGAACGTCCGTGTAACACCACATTGGTACCCACGTACTAAATTCAATGAACAGGGTGAAAATCAAGGTTACTTTAATTACAGTGAAATCAAGGAAAATTGAAATATGCGAGAATGTTTTTAAAATAATACATTGTTGGCAAAAAATCTACTTCATGTTTTTTTTAATTAGAAGAAGTTTTACCATCAGAATGAACAAAAAAATTTCCACCTCAAAGTCCGCACGATGTTGCTCACCATTAGTAAAGGTTTTATCACCTATATCACCCGTGGAACCATTGATCTTCGAGTAATTTGAGCAAGTTCCAGTCAATTTTGCATTTGTCCTTGTCAT